CGTAGCGCCGTGGAGACAGAAGAGCAGGTGTCGTAGATTTCATATCCAATTTTCACTTCAGGTAAGAGAGAGGAATTGTTTATCTGCTCAATGGTATAGATCATTGCTTGACTGTAAAGCAGCACTTGCATATCAAGGCTTGATCTGTAAAAGAAAAGATGGTGACGCTTTATTTTGAGTGGTCCTTTTAGATGAAACAAACACTCAACAGACTCTCAGTAACATGTCAAAAACATATGAGGGTTAGGATTAGATTTTGGGTTAGGTTAAGGTTAGGGTTAGGATTAAGGCTAGGGTTAGGATTAGGGTTAGGTTTTGGGTAAGTTTGGGTTTTCGCTTAATGGAAGTAACATATTAACTTCTACTTAATGTAGCAACAGAACATCTTCAAGATATTTACCTCAATGTATTCAAATGCTTCACTACTGCTACATCACTGATATGTTGTTGATGTGTTACTGATAATCTGTTAAGAGTTTATTAATCATCTACAAAGAACCACTCCAAATAAAGTGCTACAGAAAAGGTTGTTGTGTAGGCAGTTAGAAGTTGTTGCCTGTGAATTGCACTAAGAAATTTATTACTGTTTGCAAAAACATAGTAATTATTTGTGAATTAACTTAAATAAACTGCAAAACTGCATGGGTACACCAGTGATCATCTGAATGCCATTTGATTGAAACTTATCATTAATTAATGAGAATGCAGTTTTAGTTATTGAACTCCTTTATATCAAAGTACAAATTGAGCTCCATATGATACTTACAGATCACACATCCATGTTGTAGGCTTGACCGTGTTGTTTTCGATGACTTGGTTATGTATAGGGAAAAGTCCAGCGATAACAACATCCCCAGGCACAAAAACTCTTTGTAGACCCTCTCCTATCAAGCAAGACCCATTCCTAAACAGAAAGAGAAGTTTTATCAGCATTAAAACCAACATCTTTTCTGTAATTCGGAGGCACTTTCAGTGGTCAGCACAAGCGTGTGTGTCGAATTATAAATGGCAGTGCTTGAGGCGAGAACTTTGTTTTTGCTTAGATGATAGTTGATAGTATACACAGGAATAACTTTGCATATGGTTGCGTTTGGTATTTGCATGAGTAAAAGAGATGTCCAATTGTCAATGGCCTTAATATATGAAGAGGTAACTATGAATTTCGTTGAATTTTTTTTTTTCCCCTGTTGTTCAAGAGTAAGATCCTTCCGTAACTGTGATGCTGTTATTCTATTACAGCTGATAACAGCTCAAGGAGATTTGTAACACAGAACAAAGGCAACATTTTGAATATCAAGGATAATTCCTTCTAAAATGAAAGTGCTTTTAGTTGCCGTTGGTCAAAACTTGTCTCACTACTCCAATTTTTAAACATGCTTAAAAAGTTAAATGGACATTAAAAGTTCTACAAAAAAATGATGCATGGTTGTACGGTTTTTGCCAGTGATGTTCACATTTACTGGGTATTTACATTACAGACTCCAATAAAACAGTTAGCTAATCATCAGACTCATGTGTAACCTGTAGAGAGAGAGCAGCCAACTCAATTCAAATACATCATTTCCTCATGAATGATTAAAAAGTTACCTCAATACTTTTTTGTATTTTAGTTTACTTTCAGTAGTAGTTGTACTGATATAATAATTCATGTGGAAATGATGGACAGATTTAGTTACACACAGAGAAAAACCAACACATCGATTGATATGTTATTTTAAATCAGTAATGCGTTTTCCTTTTTTTCTTAGCAGTGGGCCACCCTAATAAAATCTCTGGGTTTCACCTGACCACCCCATTCTAAAAGTCCTAGCTATGCCCCTGTTCAGGTGGGTACACTGGCCTTCAGTGTAGACTACACGACAGAAAGTACTGTGTGTAACTCCTTATCTTGTTTGTGAGAATGTGTAGGAAAATTATTTTGGATAATAGCCCCAACTGTCTAGACTGCTCTTGGTCATGTGACTTCTGACTTTAGCCACTAGCTCAGAGCAATGGGAAATATGGAGTAACAGCAGATTTTTAGGGAGCTTTTGCTTTGCGTGCTCCACATTCACACAAATATCTAAATGAATTATTTTGGCTCAAAACTCACAGTGGCAGACATAGTAGATGTGGTTATTGGATTAGATTCACTGTATTTTTTTAAGTAATTCAGATATTTTCTGTATTAAAGCACTGAGTAGGCGGCTTGGGAACACACATTGGCTAAAAGGGTCTAAGTGCCTCCATTAAGCACATTCCACATTCGCATCTATTTTGTTCTTTATTGCCTTATTTTAAATGATAAATTACGTAGAAGTCAACAACTTTTTTACCTTTTTTAGTTCATGCCCCAGTCATACATCATATAATGTAATTCTTGTTTCTCCATTATGAAAATGTAATGTAATTTACTCAAAATATTGAGCTCATAAGAGACGATTTGACCAAAAATCACCATATTTTCAGTTTTTCCAAACCAAGGCATACAGTTTGTGTTATGTGGCAACCCCAGATAGCAAGCATATCACCAAAAACTGAAAGGTTTGTAAGAGAAATGTGTGTATATAGATTTAGGTGAGCCTGTTGGGGCTTTTCTCTAAATAATGACTCGATTTATAAGTATACAATTTTTTTAAATAATAAAAAAAATTCAAGAATTGAAACTTCTCAGCCCTGCAATGGACTGGCGACCTGTCCAGGTTGTATCCTGCCTTCCGCCTAATGATAGCTGGGGTAGGCTCCAGCTCCCCCCGCGACTCAGGAGGATAAGCGGTTTAGATGATGTGTGTGTGTGTGAAACTTCTCAGTAGGCCTTCTTAAACATCACCATACAGACTGGTTTGTTTTTTTTCTGATACTTTTGTTCTAAAACAAAATGCTGAAGCTTAAGATGGGAGCAACAGTATAGAAAAAATTAAACACATAAAAAATGATTAGTAACTTGAGGAGCCCCCCAAAAAGAACACGGGGAAAAAATGACATGGGTTTTCTATAGTGTGTAAAAAAAACTCTCCTGCCTGCAAAATGACTTTTTTCTCAAATGAGTCATCACAGGATACATATCTCGAAAATTTTCTTGGGATAATTTTCTCAGGATAATTATCTCAAGCTAATTTTCTTAGAATAATTTTCTGGATGTCTTCTTTTTGACACACAGGCTATTCTCTAAACACCTTGCACTTATAGCCACTAAGTTGCCCAGAAGGCTGTGGCTGCTCTTGAATGAAAAACAAGGCCTCAGATATATTTGTGTAACCAGTTTATATCAGAAATCACTCTCTGATATAACAGTGTCTGTTGGCAAGCACTGAAACAAAGTCTTTGTATTTGAGACCAAGTTCAAAACAAAGTGCAATAACGCTCAGTTTCCATTAGAATAGTTCCAATCACAGATACACAACTTCCAGCACCCCTGAAAAATGAACAGTGGGTTTGGGGAGATAACAGTGAGGGGAACGTGTATTGGTGCCATCTACAGGGTGGAGTGGGTAATGCGCTTAAGTCTCTATATAATCGAGATAATTCTCTCAGGATAATTGAGAAAAAAAATCTCAGCTCATTTTGCAGAGAGGAGGAGGTTTTCTTTACCCATTATAGAAAATCCAATGTCACCCCCCCCCATGTCCTTTCGGGGGCTCCGTAGTAACTGATTGTGAAAGAGTGGTTATGTTTGTGTTTGAGGAACCTGTAAATGTTGTCACCAGACTATCATATACACAAATCCAGAGTCATGGCGTTGGTTCCTAATTTTAGGCAGAACAAAAAAGCTAAAAGACATCTGTTAAATGAAATTATTAAGGCACTGCATTGAGTAATATCAATATAGGATTTATATACACTAAACTGCCGAAAGTATTCGCTCGTCTACCTTCACACGCATATGAACTTGAGTGACATTCCATTCTTAATCCACAGGGTTTAATATGATGTCGGCCCACCCTTTGCAGCTATAACAGCTTCAACTCTTTTGGGAAGGCTTTCCACAAGGTTTAGGAGTGTGTTTATGGGAATTTTTGACCATTCTTCCAGAAGCGCATTTGAGAGGTCAGACACTGATGTTGGATGAGAAGGTCTGGCTCGCAGTCTCCGCTCTAATTCATCCCAAAGGTGTTCTGTCAGGTTGAGATCAGGACTCTGTGCAGGCCAGTCTTCCACACCAAACTCGCTCATCCATGTCTTTATGGACCTTGCTTTGTGCACTGGTGCGCAGTCATGTTGGAACAGGAAGGGGCCGTCCCCAAACTGTTCCCACAAAGTTGGGAGCATGAAATTTTCCAAAATCTCTTGGTCTGCTGAAGCATTAAGAGTTCCTTTCACTGGAACTAAGGGGCCGAGCCATATCCTGAAAAACGACCCCATACCATAATCCCCCCTCTACCAAACTTTACACTTGGCACAATGCAGTCAGACAAGTACCGTTCTCCTGGCAACCGCCAAACCCAGACTCGTCCATCGGATTGCCAGACGGAGAAGTGATTTGTCACTCCAGAGAACACATCTCCACTGCTCTAGAGTCCAGTGGCGGCGTGATTTACAGCACGCCATTCGACGCTTTGCATTGCGCTTGGTGATGTAAAGCTTGGATGCAGCTGCTCGGCCATGGAAACCCATTCCATGAAGCTCTCTGTGCTGTTCTTGAGCTAATCTGAAGGCCACATGAAGTTTGGAGGTCTGTAGTGATTGACTCTGCAGAAAGTTGGCAATCTCTGCGCACTATGCCTCTCAGCATCCGCTGACCCCGCTCTGTCATTTTACGTGGCCGACCACTTCGTGGCTGAGTTGCTGTCGTTCCCAATCGCTTCCACTTTGTTATATCACTGACAGTTGACTGTGGAATATTTAGTAGCGAGGCAATTCCACCACTGGGCTTGTTGCACAGGTGGCATCCTATCACGGTACCACGCTGGAATTCACTGAGCTCCTGAGAGCGACCCATTCTTTCACAAATGTTTGTACAAGCAGTCTGCATGCCTAGGTGAGCTCCTCCTCCGCTCCGGGAGAGATCAGCTGACTGTAATGTGACTGTCACATGATCAGCTCAGAGGAGGCGGAGTCTGTTCACATTGCGGCTGTTGTGTTTGCTTTTCGCTGCAGGTCCGCTGAAGCAGAACAATGCGGTAAGTTTCACAGCGGCCTTCGGTCGAAGTTTTAGCAAATGAATCTCTGTAATTGTTCGCTAAACTTAAAACGCCTTTGTTAAATCTGTGGTTTGAGCGGTTTGTTTAGTCTCCTCCTCACAGACTGAACGACCTGCGATCTGTCCTACAGCCGGATACTGCTAATGTGAAACTAGGGCTCTGCAATAAATCCGCCTGAAACTGAAATCTTCCTTTACAGGGTGATCACTTTCTTCTTGCTTTGTCTGTGTCTCGTCCATGGGGAGCATCTAGAGATCGATCAAGTTGTGTCGTAAGATTTGTTTTTTAATTCCTCTGCATTCATTATTCATTACACTTTGAAGACCAGATGAGACCTGTAACCTATATCAATGCAAATCTCTGATCCTCAGTTCCCTTGTTATATTTTAGTGTTATATTACATACTATTATATTAATGTACTATTTTGTTTATTATATATTTTTAACACATTGGTTTGTTTTGTGTGATTGTCATTGGCTGTCCTTATGTGTGTCAGTGTGCCAGAAGGCTGGCTCCACGATGGTCGGGTCAGTCCTCAGGAGGAGGTGGAGCTCACATTTGCACTCAAGCAGCAGAATGTGGACAGGCTTCAGGAGCTGCTGGCACTAGTATCAGACCCAGATTCACAACACTATGGTATTGAGTCTGTGACTTATCATAGTCTAGTCTATACTGTAAATGAGAAAAGTCTCTCTGTCATGCTCACTTTCTTTCCTTGTCCTGCTTAGGGAAGTTCCTGACCTTGGAGGAAGTAGCTTCCCTGGTGCGGCCGTCTCAGCTGACCGAGAAAGTGGTGCAAACTTGGCTGCAGACTCATGGGGTCACACGCTGTCACACAGTCCTCACTCGAGACTTCCTCCAGTGTTCGATGACCGTTCAGTAAGCTCCCTACATTGAACATTGCTGACACTTTAGCCGTAGATTACAAACACATACACAAACTCTTAGTACTTCAGTCAGAAATGACATTACAAAAAAAAATTACAGAAGAAAAAAAAAACATTCTTAACTTTGAATGGAAGTTATTGGAACAAGTGTCTTTCCGAATACTGGACCATTTGTGTTGGTCCACTTATCATGAAATGCAACACAATATGTGTATGGGTGTGTGTGTGTGTGTGTGTATGTATGTATGTATGTACATATATATATATATATATATATATATATGCCGGTGTCCAGCACAAATCACCAAACTGGACTCCAGACCTTCGGGAAAGGAGTTAACACTCCTTAAATACACAAATAAACACTCATTAATAAAATTTATTGTCCCTAATGCTGTCTAATGTAGCTAATTTATGCCACATCATATACCATATACTAGAGTTTTGCCACATCAGTTAGCATTAATTAGTAATAAGTTAGCTTGATTTTCTTCTCTCTCTAAAAGATGCTAAGCTTTAAGTACTGTTAATCTGATGGTTTTGGTGGTCTGCCACGTCTTGCCTGTTTGTTTGGAGTCCCATTTCCTCTATAACGAACTCTTGTTTTTTTTCACATATTCTTCTTTGACTTTCCCCTCCCTTATGCAGATGGATTACCTTATACCTGATCTATCTTGTTTTTACTGGAGATTAAAAATTAAGACTGGTCTTTTTTGCACAACACTGTATATCAGTGCTAATCCAACACCACAGAAATTGTTTAAATTCATTATAAATATTAAGTCTGTGTTCCATTTATTGTCGTTTGGTCTGTTAAGTAAGGAATGTGATCTGTATTTCAGGGTGGCAGAGACGTTGCTTCCTGGTGCTGAATTTCACCGCTACAGAAGGGATGGTCAGACCCTCGTGAGGTCATCGTCTCAGTACTCAGCTCATGATGACGTGTCGCAACACCTGGATTTTGGTGGGTGAATACTGTTTGACAGACATGAGTGGATTTCTGAGCTGAGGATCGTTTTACTGGTCATTCCATGAAAACACATATTGCTTAATAAACAAAGGTTGACGGTGTGTTGTGCCAAAGTAACATAGAGCTCAGTTTGATTCACTTAAGTTGACGTTTGCTAAGTAATTTAAAGTTTATTTTTTTGCCTCTCTTTTTTAGTGGGTGGTGTGCTCCGTTTTCCACCTAGAGGAAAGGAAATCAGTAAAGGCTGGACAGGAGCTAGACAATCTGCAAGGAGTTTTCACTTGGGTGTAACCCCGGCAACCCTCAGGGCTCGGTACAACCTGACCGCAGCAGATGTTGGCACAGCTGCTAACAACAGCCAGGCAGTGGCACAGGTATCAAATTGTGCATAAAAACAGTGCTTTTCACTCAGTGTAGTGTATCTAATAGGGATGCGCTGATCATGAACTTTTATGGCCAGTTGATTTCTTTACAGCCAAATTGACTTTTTTAATTCATGTTTTATTTAATTAATATTTTATTAATATTTTATTAAAATAAATCACTGTGTTTTTTCCTGAACCTCACACTGTGTGGACTAAATGAACACATGAATCACACTAGCACATTTCCAGTGTTTGCTCTTTAATAGGCCAAACTGGCATTTTCAACATGAAAAGTAAATAATAAGTCAAGTGTATTGAATAGGAATGAATATATGAGTAATATGAATGAAGTGCTAGGACAAAAACCTGTTTAGCACTTTGAGTCATGCATCGTGTGTGTAGTTTTACCTGACTTAAATTATTTAGGTTATAAAATTGCAACACAATAAACGGACCAATTGTGTGTTTGGAGAAAAAAAAAATAAACTAGCTCCAGATGTCCAAATGATTTTAACAGAGGAAAAATTATTTTTGAAATTTGTTTACATTTTTCTACCAGACGTGGTGTCAGTACAGGTGTAAAATCTTTGGCCTCACAGTATTTTGATTAGATTATGATTCTCTGGGATTTTTTTCAGTGTATTATGAAATCAGATTTTTTGAACAGATCAGTTTAATTAGATTACTTTGGTTTGTTCTAGAGTTATTTTTAAGTAACTGATTAACTGATAACTGACCCAGCCAAAAATGAAATAACTAATAAAAAAATACACCACATATATTTTTTTATTTTTACATTTGAAAATAGCCAGAGATTTATTACTGGCCATTTTACTTTGGCCAAAAATAATGCATATTTTAGGATGTATTATTAGATTTAATTTGAAAAAATTCCTAAATCAATCAATGAGTTTGATTCACCACCTTCAGAACATTGCATTGATGCATATTTGCACCCTTTTATAACAGTGTTAAGATATATATGATATGTTGAGATTATTTAATTAAACTTGAGATCACACAGAACTTGTGTACTAAACCCTGCTGTAAACTTTCCCCTATAAACATGACAGTTCTTGGAGCAGTTCTACCACCCAGCAGACCTGGCGGAGTTCATGAGTTTATTTGCAAGAGGGTTCAAGCATCTGACAGAAGTGGAGCGAGTGGTGGGGACTCAAGGAGGAGGGAAAGCTGGACTGGAGGCCAGTTTGGATGTGGAGTATATCATGAGCACCGGAGCCAACATCTCCACCTGGGTCTTCACCAACCCAGGTAGGAAGCCCTTTTTAAAGTAGCTTTGTGAATTAGAGGGTAGTTCACCTGATTTACTTTTCAAATTGAACTTTCTCCTAATGTGCTTTTCAAATCCATCTCAAGTGGATTATTTAATAGCATGCTCAGTTTGTAGTAGGTCAGTCCCAAGAAAATTTCAGCTGCCTCTTACTTGCAACTTACTCCTGATCAGGAGACCTGATACTAATTTTTGTATGAACAGGAACTACAGACATCATTAGAACTTACAAGTATTTTAATTTGACAGGGTAATGTTTTGTTTTATTTTGTTTTTTTTTGTTTTAATTTCTTGGTTGCCCAGACCAAGATTAAGCCTAAGCCTAGACTAGTTGCAATTTTTAATTGTGAAACACGATTAGCTGTGCAGGTTAGTCAAAGGCTAGGCTTAATTTGTATCCACAAAATCAGCCCATTATATTATATTATATTATATTGATGTTGTGGTGCTGCTATTGTAAGCATGGTGGCCAGTGATGTAAAGCAAAGAGATCTGCTCCTATTAAACAGTGCAAACCTTTGGTTTGAGTTATCTGGCTAACTGAGAAATTGCTTTGCATAGTACTCCCGATTTACTATGGCAAAAAAAAATATCATGAGCTGCATTCTTTCAGGTCGTCACGAGTCACAGGAGCCGTTCCTACAGTGGATGTTGCTGCTCAGCAACATGTCAGCCGTGCCCTGGGTGCACACCATCAGTTACGGAGATGATGAGGACAGCCTATCCACCTCCTACATGAATCGCATCAACAACGAGTTCATGAAGGCTGGTGTCCGAGGCATCTCAATGCTTTTTGCGTCCGGTAACACAATTAAGCACTTTTCTTGGCTTTTAATTAGAAGTGGCATTTTAATGTTCTTGAAAATTCATTAAAAATTGAGACAGAGTATTCCCATGAGTACTGTATGTGGTCCATTAGGAAAAACACATTTTGTTAGGACTTGTTCTCATGCTAGATGCATCACTCTCCATGTGTATTCTACTGCAGGGGACAGTGGGGCTGGCTGTAGGCACTTGCCCAAAGAACAAAATGTGTTCAGGCCAAGCTTTCCTGCTTCCAGGTACGTATTACTGATAAGCCTGTGTTTGTTTATTTTTTTTTTGTGAACATGCCTTATGTAACTCAAAGAGGGCCCAGTAGTTAACTCTTGCACTTACTCTTACTCTTGAGTCCAATCAAGGTTTTTATGGTGCTGAGGAAACACTTTGCCTATAGTGCTTGTAGAGCAAATTTAATTAGCATACATGAGTGACATTGACCATTTCAGGGAACTGAAAAAGGGAATTGTTACTGAAAGCAGTCCACATTTTTGCAGTAGTACAGCAATATGTACACATTTTTATAACTGTTTTGAAAGGGTTTCTGGTTTAATGTATTTGTATGAAGAACATTTAGTCATTCTTTAGTATAATATAAAATGCAGCTCATCTTCTCCAACTCTATGTTTACAGTCCATACGTGACCACAGTGGGTGGGACTTCCTTCAAGAACCCCTTCAAAGTCACCTATGAGGTTACAGACTACATCAGTGGTGGTGGCTTCAGTAATGTATTTGCAATGCCAGATTATCAGGTAAATCTCCACACAAATGCCCTGAATCAAAGACCAAAATGAGGTTATTAGGTTAAAGTTACAGCGATATTATGACAACCAATGGATAAAAAACAATGGGGATTACTGTAGGGAAAATTACTTTTATTAAAGTTCTCTTTTACTGAGTGCTTTGATAGACAAGACTATAATAAACACCTGTGGTACATAAATACATGTCAATACATGAAGAAAGGTTAGGACCAAAAGATGTCCTTTATCTGCATCTGCCCAAGATTTCATATCTGTTTACTCTTGGAGGCAATGTTTTGTCTTACTTCAGTTCACATTTTGAGATTTGAATATTTATACAGTATAGGTACAATTGCAAATAGCGATGTACCAATTCGATTTTGATTCAGTTCAGTGCATCGAGATTGGAGCTGATGCTGTCATGTATTAACATATTGGATATCGTCTATATTAAACCCAGTTTGGTTCCAGTCCCTAACTTCTTTTATGCTCTCTATTTACGGCTTCTTAAACTGACATTGTTCACAACCTGCAGCAGTGAGGGATGTTTTCAGAAGTTAATAATAAGTGATGTAAATTTCTCCATTGTGAAACCATTTGAAGAAAGAAAATGAAAACTGTCTGCACTGCCATTGTTTAGAGCCACCTTTCGTCAAAGTATGGGCACATGAAAAATGAGGGAGCAGTTATTATGCTTTGAGTCATTTTCTTCTGCTTGTTGCGAGAGGCCCTCCACCAGAAACACATACAGAATACATGTCTGCTACATTTTTCACTTGTGACTGATTAAAAAGGATAGTACCTCAAGAAACATTCTGCTTTACTGGCGGCTGTGCCACTTCTGGTTTTAAACAGGAATTGCCAGTATCAAAACTGAGAGAAAGGAGCAGGTTACTGCTCACACATTAGAGCAGTATCAGAGTGTGTTCCGGACACTATGGTACAAGTATATGAAAGTCATTCAGTGGCCAGAAACAACAGTATACTCAGATTAGATTGGAGGGCAGTAAAACTGGATCGGGACATACCGAAACTCAAACCATCAATACAGACTATATACAGAGAGTATGCTGTATTATCGGGTGAGACAAAATATACATACAGTAAATATTGGCGACATGCATGAAAAAATGGTTTTGCATTTGTTGTTTGAAGGTTAGTGCTGTGAAGGCGTTTTTGAAAGGCAAGCAGTCACTTCCTCCAGAGTCCTACTACAATGCCAGCGGAAGAGCCTACCCTGACATGGCAGCACTGTCGGACAATTACTGGGTGGTCACCAACCTGGTTCCCATCCCATGGGTGTCTGGAACCTCGGTATGTGAAAATGCATCGGAAAAAGTTGTTTGTGTCTGTGTGAGAATAATGAATTGGGAAGTGCACTGTGTTTCCTTATGTTTTTGTACATTTTTGTCATTTTAATGATGAACTACAGCTGCCTGAGGAGGAAAGGTAATAATCGAAGCCTCTATGTTTGCTCCAGGCTTCCACTCCAGTGGTGGGGGGAATTCTCTCGCTCATCAATGACCAGCGGTTCCTGAAAGGTCTTCCTTCCCTTGGCTTCCTTAATCCTCGACTGTATAAACTCCAGGGCACTGGGCTTTTTGATGTAAGAGACTCAATCCGCCAAGTATGGTAGAAAAAATTTCTGGCTCTAAAATCTGGTTGGCTGAGCCATATTTGAAACTGTTGTAAAATGCTTGGTATACATTCAAGAGGTGTCAGAGTTCAAGCGTTAATAATGTGTTAACGTGATAGATTATTGATGGCACAGTTTTTTTTAATGCCATTAACACCTTTTCAAAGTTTGACCCTTCAAACCATCCATAGTTCCAGCCTGAAGCCCAGCTACTTGCATGCTGTTGCTATGACCAGGATTCTTGTGGATCCTTTAATTAAAAAAAATAATATTTAGTAATAATAGTCTTCAAATAGACATTGAAAATTTAAGGTCATAAAACATCTGAAAATGTCTTCTTTTTACTCTTAGAGGCATTTAATTTAGGGATGTCTCGACATAGTTTAATTGGCTAAAATAACCCTTATCCAGTTTTCATCCTTTGCTGCATTTCTCAGCATTACTTGACCGAAGGCTGTGCTGATTTATAGGATCCTTCGAATGTGGCAGAGAAATGCACACATTACTCTTTTGAATTCAAAGAACTGTTTTATCATTCAAGACTTTGTCACCCTCAGTCCTTCATGTGCAGCGCATAAAATAAATAATAAAATAAATAAATAAATCGATAAAAAAGGCTGCATGTGGTGAGATGCTGTAGCACTAGAGTTCGTAATAAATTAAACATTTATTTTAAGTTTTTTACATGAAACACGTCACGTTGCTTACATCAGTAAAGCAGTCCAGGCGGAAAAGCTACTTCTAACTTAAGCACAAATGGATGGAGCTAAATTGTTGTACGCTGAGTAGGCAAATGCATGTAATTGCATTGGTTTTTGTGACATTGCTTAAACAGTTAATTCAGAATGGGTTTTTGAAGCTTAGTTTCTGTATATGGACTGAGGAGTGAACGGTACATTTTTTGTTCTAGGCCTGTTTCCGCCTCTTTGTTAAAAAAAAAAAAAAGGGAGGAAAATATAGTTTTCCACTATATGGGCCCCTTAAAAAAAGACAGTTCACAGTTGTATGGCAGTTAATTGTCAGCTAAAATTTGATCATGACAGGCTTACTGAGAAGTTCATGTCCTCTGATTGACATTGTCTGTTTAAGCTTCTCCAAACCACTCTGATAGACTTTTTAAGACCAGCTTGGTTGTATTCAAAACAGCAGAGTGCATTTTAACTGCCTTTTTGTTTGTTCTTCTTAGGTAACGGAGGGGTGCCACCTGAGTTGTCTGGATGACAAGGTCGAGGGTCAGGGGTTCTGTGCTGCTCCAGCATGGGATCCAGTGACCGGATGGGGAACGCCCAATTACCCTGCTCTACTCGCTGCTCTGGGAAAGGACTAAAGGGTAGTCTTGTTAGAACACAACCTAGAGTTTCTTAAAGTTTCACCAATGTGCTTTTACCTTGAAAACTTCAAAGACTACAGTCACGTTTCAGTACAATTTCAGATGCTTTAAGCTTTACAGCTAGACAATGTGAGGAAATTAGTTTTAATTGGTTTTCATTTTATTGACTACATTTTATTGCCATTTTATTAGTTACAAAATGCATCTTTCAAGGTGAAATCTTGATTGGTGCCCATCTTGTAGATTTTTAAAGGTCTGTTTTTAAGGTACAGTTGGTAATTAAAAGTCAAGACTGATGGTACCCATGTGGTTCTGTACCAGCTGCTTTACAGATGATTGAGCTTAAGAATCAACTGTTTCATATTGTTTCTCTTTTACATAAATATAACAATGGACATGGGTTTGGATGTTCCCAAATCTCAGGCTGTTTGATTAATGTACTGACATGTAATGACTTCAGTTAACAGGAATATTGCACTAAACCAGTAATGCACTGAAATATCATATTCTGAACTTGATTTTATACCACAGCATATAACTAGTTAAAATAACCTGATGTTTCATTGATTATATGTATGCTTTTAGTCAACATGCTGTAAAAAATATTCATCGAAAAAAAGCAATCGAAATGCCTGCACAAGAATGCAGCGCTGCCTAATTTCTGTGCAATGACTTATTTAATAAATAAAGTATTTGGATCACTTCTCCACAGAGATGGTAAAACTGAAAGCCAGTCATTCGTATACCTGGAGAAATACAAGCTAAATTGCATTCATGTTAATTGAAAAACAAAGCCATTGTGTCCTTTTTTGCTTGTGGTTTATGCCTGAAAAGAATCCGAATCATGACCTGTTGTTCATGATCATGTGTTGTTTTACTGTTGTTATGTAGGGAAAAGGCTGCTTTGAGGAAGCTTACATGCAGATACAAGTGGATGGGGTCATTTTATTTTTTCATTTTGAAAGCTAGATTATGGAATGTGGCGCTCTTCAGTTATTGTCCTAGAGCAGGGATGCCCAACCTTGGTCCTGTAATACTCCCTTTTCCGCACATTTTAGTGCTTTACCTGCTCCAACCCATCCAGTTCAGGTCAGTGAGGGGATATTAATAAGCAGGTTTATTGGGAACAGGGAAAATATTACAACGTGCAGTTCGGTCTTCAGGACCAGGGTTGGGAAACACTGTCCTAGAGGACTACGCTTATGTAGTCTTTTATTTTCTTTCCTGAAAATGAAATTAATATGAATATTTGAATTACCTTAAGTTGCACCAGGTGTGCTAATAAAGCATTTTCAGTATGAGTGGTGTAGAATAATTGATGTCTTTCACAAAAAATGTTTTATTTTGACTTTTCTCAGGGGATGAAAATGAACATGTAATCTTGAAAAGTTTTAAAAAATAAAATGAGTGCTTCTTAATACCTTTATCTAATTCTTTGTTTTTTTTTTTAATATTATGGCAAAGTTCTATAAGTCACGATCATATTCATTATATTACTGTGATACTCTAAGTAAATGCATGATGGATGACTCTTTGAATCCAAATGTTTTAACCAACTGGAGCCTTCGTAATCTTTTGCTGGGTTGAGTTTCCCTCATTCAGAGTAATTTTCTTAAAAGTGCTGGTGTTTCTACTGATCATAGAAACAGACAATCTTGAAAGTTATGATTCTTTTGGAACTTGTGTTCAAAGCAGAGTTTTCAAAACGTGGTTTGTCAGTACGTTCTGCATTTTGCTTGCACCAGTCAGAATGACATGCACCTCTGCTGCTCTGTAATGCTGATTACTTATTGTGTAAAACCGACAAAATGTTAGTTTAAACTTCCATATAGTCCATGTAGCAAACTAATGAAGGAGCTATATTCCATGCACAGAAATTATAAGTATGTAATGAGTGAAACTAAATATGCTTACACGTAATATGCTGTACACATATATATGTGTGTATGCATATATGTATATATGTGTGTATACGTTATACATACATATATATATATATATATATATATATATATATACCTCACTGTTCTCGGACCAAAATGTCATATCTCCAAAACTCTAGAGAAGGAAGTTTACACACAATGTATAGGACCATGGGTACTTTCAAATTATGTCAAAACTGAAGAATGATAAAAATGGAGATACAAGGTTATGTTTTCCAACAGCTATATATATATATATATATATATATGTATACACACAATTTATGTGTATATATATATATATATACATATGCACACGTTATATATGTATATACGTGTATATACACATGCTAATTTTTTATTTATATATATCCCATACACATTTAATATATATATATATAAATAAATGTGTGCGGTGTAATTATATATATATATATGTACATAATGTGTGCGCACACACTTTTTTATTTACATATACACACAAGCACATGATATTGTAGTGAGTGTCACCAACTATCATCTAGACGGGTGTCAATTTAATAACCTTCATGATCAACAGTAATGTTTTTGAATGTAATTTCAAATTGTGCACCTTCAGTGTACAGGGAAGATTTTGTGTTATCTACAACTCTTGAATCAAGCTTATACTTATAAAACTACTTCGGGTTTTACATTAACATGTATAAACATCACTTATCAGTACAAATGAGAACCTATATATACACATACATTTATAAAAAATGTACTGCATAAAATGTTTCAGATATTAACACAGTACAGATTCGTATACTATTCTGTACAAGATCTTCAGAGAAAATGTGTAATACTAAGTTGTATGATAAGGTGTATGGACAAAAGGTAGGAAAAAAACAAAAAAAGCTTTTTGCACACTGTGGTGCAACTTGAAATTGGATAAAATTGGTTTAATAGGTTAAACACAAATCTAACATCTCTATTATCTACATGATTTCAAAATATTTGTACAGAACAGTTATACAAAATGAGATACCTGTGGAGGATACCTCTCACAACTGGAAAAAGTTTAATAGTATCTCCTTCTCCTTGAAGAAGAGCATTCACATATATCAAATCTCAGGGAAAAACATTTCAAGACAAAAGGTAACGTCTAAAAAGTGTACAATATGCACACTTAGAAGACAACTAAAAAAAGCAATTATTTCTCTTTGTGGACATGTAACAGATACACAGATGAAAAATTAGATTCTTTGGGCTCTGGATAATGAAAGTCTTGTCTGTGGATGAAGGTCCAGAAATGCACATCTTCAAAAGAAGACATTTTCTGGAAGTAATGCATTTAAGTCCAGTTTGTACCAAGTGTCATAAGGGCTAGTTGGGCGTCAGTTCATCATTCAAATACTTACTTTGATAAAACATCAGTAGATACTCTCTCTTACAAAAAAAAATCCTCTACAAACAACACACAAAGGGTGTTTTAAAGCATTGGGTGGTGCAGTCCAGGGTCCTTTTTTGAAATGTTCCTCCATCTAGTCCACTCACTGGTTGTTCTTAGCCTTAGCGTGTGTCAAAATGTGAGACTTCAGGTTGGTTGACTGAGCAAATTTCTTATTACAGCCGTCAAACGGACAAACATAGGGTCTATCTCCAGTGTGAATACGCACATGTGTGCGCAAGTTGAAGTCCAGTGAGAAGCGCTTGCCGCAGCCCTCAAATGTACACTAAAGAGGAGAAAGAGGAGGATTTGATTAGAACAGAAGTACTGGAGTTTACAGTCTCCTAAACAATACTTCTCAATGCCAGTTCTAGGGAATCCACAAAACCTATTATTTAGCACTTCCTGTATTCCAACACGCCAAATTCATCTCACCAACCAATAGGCTGTGACAAATCATGATCACGTGTTAGAGCATGGAAAACAGGTGGTGCAGCTCTAGGTGCAGGAGGCATGACTACTGGAACTGAGAACCACTGTTGTAAGTTACGTTTAAACATCTTGTTAAGAACAAACAAAACATAAATGACGTTGAAACAAACCAAAAACCCACCTGGAAAGGCTTTTCACCAGTATGAACCAACTGGTGTCTTTTAAGCTTGGAGCTTTCAACAAACGCTTTCCCGCACTCTGCGCAAACATGAACACGCGGTCCATGGGTGTGCAAGTGCTTCCTCATTGCAGAGTTGTCTCGGAACATTTTTGTACAACCCTGAAAGATGAGATGCAATTCCTTAGAGGAAGTCTGAATTAAACAGCTTGACACCAAATGCAGTTTCTTCTCTAAAATGTTTTCTATGCCAATATTTTACTTCTCAAACTCACATTTTCTATGATTTTCTCATCACATTTGCCACGTCTGCTCAACATTGCAATTTTGTTCTCTTACACAAAAATAACACAACAATAAACTAATCAATAGACAATAAAAAGGAAATACACTAAAATAATAATGAATATAAAGGACTCAAACTGAGGAAAAACCTGACATCATCTTCCACATAAATAAAAAAAAATCTGTGACAAACTTGGCTAATAAAAAATGCTCTTAAATTTACTTTTCATGATTCATTATATACTCACTTTGTGTGGGCATGCTATCGTCCTTGGAGAGTCATCTTCCTTCATTTTCCGTGGTTTCATCCTGTTACAGTAACATACAATGCTAGAAACATTACACTATACACTTTTACCATAACAGTCAATACACTGGACTAATGTTGGTTATACTGAATAACACAGACTGAAAAAGATAACAGCACATTACCGAGCAAACTCCGCCAGCTGTTTGGGGTCTGACAGGTCAATGCCAGGAATTCCACCAGGTGGAAGCTTTTTGCCCGTCATGTACTCTGAATAGTCTGGAGGGGAGTTTTCCCCAATGATCTGCTCCTCCACCACAGTCTCATGATCAATGTCCTTTTTATCATCTGTAACAAGGACAAGAGACAATGTTAGAGAAGACAAACAGGACAACAAACAATCGCTAGCGCGCTGCAGACTGACATATCCATCCATATCTAGCCTGGGTCCAAAGTCTGAACAAATCCAAAGATCAAGTGACGAGTCCTCCATCATTAGTAGTTTGTTACATCCATCACGAGAAAAACCTTATGTATTAAACAGGCCTATGTAACTCCCATTGTCCCTTAGAATGCTAACGTTAGCATTTGTGAATTAAACTAGCTAGTTTAAATCACTTTGGTGCAAAAATGACTGAGTAAGATTTTGTACTGATTTCATGATCTGCACATCAAAAACAAGTGCTAACTGGAAATAACGGAAGCTTTAACGAATCTACTCCGCGATGTGTGTTACTCAAAGGCAACTTAAATGCAGACACGACAGAATGGGGGATTTTCCGTTTAAAAACGTTACAGTAAATAGCGGCTTCACTCGAGCGTGTAAACAAGACCGACGTGCAACCTAATCCACAACCCAGGTGAAGAAAATCTCACAGAATACGAAATAACAAACATATAATACGTGAAAAAAATGTAAAGTGTGCTCGCAGATGACCAAGATTAATTAACACCAGCTAATTTGACGCTACCAAGTATCCCTGACGACCACGTCCCATCTGGATACATTAGCTAGCAATCTAGCTAACTAGCTAACAGCAATGACAGCTCTAACAGGTCGCAGAGACGCTCAAGTTCGGTAAATCGGTTTACAAACACAAACAAGCAAAGAAAACTGCATGAGAGAAGCCGAAGAGAATTAAAAAAGAGTCCGGTTTAACGTTCTGCCCTCGCCCACAGGGGCTCATCTCTCTCCTTCTCTCAGTCTGCCTGTCTCCGTGTGGCGGTCCCTCCCCTTCCTCCCCGAGCGGACTGCGCCATCGCGGCCTGTTCGCGCTGCAGCCCGCAGCTTCAGCCCAACCCGCCGCCATCTTTCCCCGGCTACACAAACGCCATTTTTCGGGCGGCCATAATGGTCCAGAGGAACATGGCGGCGCCCATCAACACTTAAAACATGGCTTCCCATCAAAACAAAAAACATTTTCCACCGATAAGATGTGCAAAAGTGTTTTATTTGGCGCAACGAACGACCGCTCTAACAGGCCAGCCTGCGCCTTGTGCAGTGCAGCACAGGGCCTCAACCGAGGCCCTTCTTTTCAACCGAGAACAATGCCAACTAACGTGAGCTACAACCAAGAGCAGAGGAACTTTGGACATTTAAAACTCACCCGAAGCCCACATAGTAACCGAAAACTCCCCTTCGAGCGTTTTTATTTGCACTTGCTTCTGCTCCCATTTCCGCCCGCTGGCCTCCGCGGCGCCCAGGAAGCTCTTTTTGACCACTTTCTTCCCGCTCCCGCCTCCTTTCTTCAGGCGACCCGTGTTCTTGCCACCGCCGGCCACGGTCACCAGCGTCTGCTCGATGTACTCCTCCTCCGCGGCCGGGACCGGGACGGGGATGAGGATCTGGTCCTCGAAACCGTCGTTGGCATGAAGCTCCGAGTCGTCGCAGCCCACCACCTCCTCTCGGGTCTGCACCAGAATTACCTCTGGTGGTGGAGATGGTTCGGGTCGTCTGTGACCAGCGGCTGCAGAGCGATCATGGGCTGGTGCTCGTCGTCGTCTCCACCGACCACCGTCGTCTCGATGGTCTCCACTTCGATTTCGTGCAGTTCGACGATCTCGGCCGGCATTTCCGAGCCGTCGGTTTCTATGTACAGTGTTTCGCCAGACGCCATACTGGATTGTTTTCGTGCAAAACTGTTCCAACTCCGACTTGACGAGTCGATGAAGCCACTTCCACTCTCCGGCTCTCCGGCGCCTCCCCCTCCGCTAAACAACACAGGCAGCGCTGCTGCTAGCTACTAGTAATCTCGCGAGATTTTCACATCGACCCACTTTAGCGCTGGAGTTCATCTAATCCCCCAAAATATAATCAGTGCGGAGCTCCTAATGGGAACTACTTTTTCTGATAAGACAAATTCATATTTTGATTAAATGAATTGGGTTTCTTATCTATGTTAAATATCTATAAAAATAAAACCAAAGCATAAGACAAATAGATTTATCCACTTGTCTTATGCTTTGGTTTATTTTATTTCCGTATTTATCCTAGATTCTGAGAATTAAAATAGAGGGGATTCAGCTGTTGTAGGCCATCAATTGTATAACCTTTATACGCACAGATATATTTATATGTCTATAATGAAGTCAGCACTCTCAGCACAACAAGAAATTGTGTAAATCTATTGCTTTGCTGAGGCTTTTAATTTGATTGAAATTTCAGATGGTATTCTTTCTTTTAATCATTCTGTTTTTGTTATTTTCTTTTTTCCAGTTTGAAATGTAGCTGCTGTTGAGCTCGACCGAACCACACTGCAGTGCTGTCATTAGAGATGGCACAAAGCCACTTTTTCTTTTCATATTACAATATTGAAATTTTGAGTATCAGCCAATACTGATCCGATACTTTTTCTTAAAAACTACTAGGCGGTAAAACAAGCTAGTTATAATTGAAACACTTCACTAAAGATGGGGACCTAAGGGTAGGCTATCAGGTCCACACTATTCAAACAACAGAAGAAACCACCCCAGAGGAAGACGTACACGGTTAACACAGCTAACAGCATCACACAATGTGAGTGTGTGCTATTTCAGCCCAGATGTGTTACGAGATTGGAGCAGATTCATTCCTTCCCTCCCATATTAGGTCTTGTATTTTTTGCTGATTGTAGCCTGACATCTTCATGCTGTCTCTAGCTGTTATTATACGAGCGGTAAAAAATAAATAAGGGATAGTGTGCTATATGGTAATGTGGGTCAGTATGTTTGGTATTGTGGCACAGCGGTATATCATTATATGGGGCACTTGAATGATAAAGCCACTATTTTATTCAACACAGTTGCAACACTGTTTACATTATTTCCTTTTTAAATGGTGAATGTCCCAGTAATAATCAGCTGAGCTCTCCAGGCCTGATTGGTCATAACAGCTGAATCCGCTCTAGTCTGTGACGTTTAGCCCAGAACAGACGGGCTGTGTCAGCCTGGAGCGAACTGAGAGCTGAAGAGCTACAAAATCACATTTTCCTGGTTTGTGTGAAAACAGCGTCATCCTGTGGTCGTAACACAAAACTGAGGCGCTCTTTTAATCAAAATCTAAGAAAAGCGTCGGAGAGTCACTAGTGATGCTACGGCCGTATTTCTGAATCACAAGATAAAGCAGGCGACTCCCATGTGGCTCAGACTTCCATAACGATCAGATTCAGTCTTTTGCAATATCATATCGTCTCGCAAAGTAATCAGTCCACCCTTTCTCTGCTTAAGCGTCCCTCCACTTTAAACGTTTCAGTGATCGCATGAGTTTCTAACGCGCTCCCACGCCTGAATATAAGTAGCCTCGCCTGTTCGGCCCACAAGCCTATCAACTGTTTCTTCTGGCTTTGTTCAGGCACACCTTTTTCTGCACCTTATCACTGAGGGCGTGCCCGAAACGAGTCGAGAGTGAGAGGCTCACCTGAGATCATTACGCCACTGCTGGAGGTGGAAATGGGGAAGGCAGGTGGACGAGGGGACTTTGAATGGGTCTACAACGAGCAACCGCATACATGGAGAAGGAAGGAAATATTAGGTGGGTAAACCATCCCAAGAGACCCCACAGACTAGAAATAAATATACTATAGTTAGAATAAAGTATCCTGGCAGGTGTTTCAGATTCTTCACACAGTCAAATTTGAATGAACTTGTCGTTTTAGGCTAGTTAATTTGGTCTCGTCTTCTAGGTATCATTGAATGTGAAAGTCTGGAGGTTCAGCTCTGTTTTTGCTAGTTTCACTGAAGTTCTGCATCAAGTCAGTACTGAGTCGCGCTGTCACCGTCTCTGTAGACTCTTCCGCGCACTGTCACACCGGAGCTCCAAACTTTACCGGACTGGACGGATTTCACTGAAATGTTACCTTTAGAACGATAAAAACTTAAAATCGACAGGTTCTGCGCAGCGTATTTACTGACAGAGCGCCTCAGTTTTAGCCGTCGTTTCCTGTTGTGGCAGGTCAGGTACAGCAAGTTTGCCTAAGAGCAGTGATCCTCACAGCGCGTGTGCTGTGGTGAATGTGGTGCTACACTGGCTAAGTCTGTAGCCTAATTTAGCACTTTATAGTCAACCTAACCTATATTCTGTAAAACGACATTTTATGTTGGTCAGATGGGTTAAGGTTTTAGCCATAGAGTACAATAATTTTTGAACATAAAATGAATAGGTTAATAATAGTCTAGTGATTTTTTTTTTTTGTATTTTCCTTTCAGGTGAATATTTCACAAGTTCGTAAAAACTGAGCTAACAAAGTACTCGGGGCTGAAATGTGCCTTATGATAATATGTAAGTTTCCGTTTCCAGTTTATTATAACATTCAACATTTATAAAAGTATCATATTAGGAAAATAAAGTGTCCTAATCTAAAGCTCTAGCCGAGCTTTAGATTAAGACACTTTATTTTCCTAATATGATATAATATATATAATCACAAGATAAAGCAGGCGACTCCCTAAATAGTTAGCTCCAAGCTAGCACACTAACTACAAGCTAATGTGGTACAATACAGTATGTTGCATTGCTACATCCCTACAAAGCACCCGTATGGAAAACAAATATACATTGAATGTAATTATGAAAACATTTGAAAAGATGTGAACATGGACATTTTTTTATGTTCCTTATTGTTTAGATTACATTTTAGAATAAAATAAAATATATTTGAAATGTACCTTACATATAAAAAAATATATGCCCATGTGTTTATTGTGCTTAATTATTTATTTTTAGCAGATGGGTGCTTTGCACACTTGAGCTAAATCAAAAGCTGTAGGGAACTGTAATATCCGCTCTTTCCAGCTCATTTCTCCTCCTGGCTTCGCCCCGTCTCATTTAAGCAGATAGATGTAATATAAATGAACAGCAGTTTTTCCAGCCTGGTCATTTTCTGTAAACTGATTCCAGGCAAACTGTACTTTGACATGTGGAACAATTGCTGAGTAGCCCAGGTGCACCTGACAGACTTAATGGGTTTTGCCTGGAAACAGAACTGTGACGGTAAACAGTCAGGGCCACAACATTTGGTGCTAATGTGTGAGGGTCAGTAGAACAGAAAGGCCTTTAAAGCTGTTGAAGAAGCACTATTTAAGTATGTCTGTGCCTTTTTTGTGAAATATGGGCTCAATTTTGAAGAAACATTCCCCTACATCAGAAAACCTCATCAGAACTGCTTTCATATGTGATCTACTGTATCACGTAAAGCTTAGTTTTCAAAACTGACACATGAAACTTTTCGGGCTCTTCAAATATTTATAACATTTTCTTTTATTATCCCTTAAGCTTTGCAGGAGAATGAAGGAGTCAATAGGGTTCTTGTTTATAAATGACACTGAGGGTGTGGAAGCTGTTTCCACCACAACCAATTTACACCCAGGATGACAGTAATTCACCTTGGGCTGCTTCATGGTGCTTGAAGGTCATTAATAGGCTGCCCAGTGTTGCCCTGCCATTCTCAGAGAACTTGTATATGTTTGAAGAAACCTTTATCTTACGGTTCAGCAAGGTCACTTTGATAGCATAATTAAGGGAGGAAGCCGTGGGAGGTTCCTTCTGCTCAAACGCTGATCATGAGATACTTTTGTCATACTTCAGGGGCTCATATGAATGTCATCATAAAAAGGATGGCTTAACATGTGACTGAAAAAGTTGCGTTAATCATTAACTTGCTCAATGAAAATGTGTGACTGGTTGAATGATCAGCACTAAGAATAAGTGTCTGAGTTTCTAGGATATGTTTCTTTCTTTCTTTCTGTGTGAAGTTCTTAGCTGCATGCTATCAGGGTGGACGTCATGACCATTATATTGTATTTGCAAGAGGCTGGTCAGTGATCCCTTTCATGAAGGTGTACGACATTTAGTTACTCATTACACAATGATTTGACTGATGCTTACCGTCTCTGGCACGTTGGCCAATCAGTAGGTTCTTCACAGCTTAAATCTATGGGATCAATTTAAACTTTTAAAAACACAGTGTTGCTTTGCATACACTGGGTGTGGATGTGGCTAAAGAAATGTCAGCGTTGCTATGACTCAGTTGATTGTGTACATGTTATCTCTCAAGAATCCACACTTTTTTGTCACTCCAGAATGGATGTGACAGATTAGACATAGAATTGATGCTAGTCATTTGCATTATCATGCAAATAATGGTAATTAATAAGCTAAATAATAGACTATTCAGAATTTACTCATAAGACTATTGAGTCGACACTGACCGTTACTCTTTTAACTCATTCTCAGTGTTATTAGCATCTTGAGTGAACTTTTCTTTTAGAAGGAGAAGTTGTCCACCATGTGATATGGACTTCCCCGTGTGGAAGATCAGGGGAAAATGAGCGCGGGTTAATTTCACTGCAGTCAGGCCTTGTGGTAGCAAAAGTATATTGAAGTCTTTCCACCTTACCATTAGTTTGCATAAAGACTGCATGCAAATTGGAAGGGTGGGGCAAATCAAGCCACATTTCCATGGTACCAGTTTTCTAAACGATGTATTTTATACATTAGACCCAAATCTGTCTGTAAGGTACCTACCATGAGTGTCTTTTTGACAAGAATAGTCTAAGGAACAACAAGTGTGCTAATTAAAAAGAAAGGTGCATGATCAGGAGGCCTTCCTGTCTCTTGGGAAGAGCATTAGACACTGCTCGACTTCCTGTGTACTCTGTTTCAGGTGGATGTTTATCACCCATTACCATCTAGTCGCCAGGTAACTGGAATCTGAAAAATATAAATAGATATTTTTGTCTAATTTTGGACATGCTGCTGCTTTATCAAAGTTTGCATCCAACATCTTAACGTTTATTCAGATATGCATAAATAAAGCACACTAAAGGCCAATTTTGAGACCCAGATTAGACTTAAGCAAAGGCAGAAAGGCCTTTTCAGTGGACAGTCACCATCAGCATTTCAGTTTGGTCCCATAGTAGGCCAAGTAAACCCTAAATCTTTCAGATATTAAGATTTCTACAAAGTTGATCAAAGAGGTGTGCTTACAGGTTTTGATAGATTTCTCCACAATTTGTGTGATAAAATAATACTATCTTGAAGATCTGTTGTTCATACTAAAACATGTTTTTTTTTTTAGACACATTGTTGGTAATATCATAAAATGCATGTGGGTAAATTTTGCCTTAGACATGAAGGGGTATTCTGGTCTGCACCTAGACCTCATCGGTCTGACAGAATTAATCATTCAGCTCACTACGATACCCAGCATGCATTATGCAAATACATCTCTCAATCATTGGGAATCCTTAAATCACTCAATAAATCCTTACTGCTAGCCACTGATCTAGAGGCTAATGAAAACATCTGTGGTGCTAGCTAGCAATAGTAATATAGCACAAACCTTACTTTTTTCATTAAAGGAATTATTAAGACAGCTTAAGAGAAAAAAAAAACAGCCTTTCAAACAGCCAATCAAAAAGCACTTGTAGTCTTAAAAACAGTAATTCCACCTTCAAGATACATCATCAGAGAGGGGGTTTCCTAGTTTACTATACAAGAAAATCTCATTTTAGAGACTTCTGCAGCACTACTGTATTAGGCGATACAATAGATGTAGCAATGGCTATGTTTTTCATTTTAGCAGGAGTGTGCTGGTGTATTATTTATGTAAAATACTTACTGTTACTTACTCTTACTGTTTTCTCTTAACAGCAAAGTACCCGCAGATCAAGACCTTGATGGGTCCCGACCCCCAGCTGAAGTGGGTTGTGTCAGGAATGGTTCTAACCCAGATATTAGCGTGTTACCTGGTCCGTGACCTGTCTTGGAAGTGGGTGGTCTTCTGGGCATATGCCTTTGGGGGCTGCATCAACCACTCCTTGACCTTAGCCATTCACGACATCTCTCACAATGTGGCCTTTGGGAACAAGCAGGCTCGCTGGAACCGCTGGTTCGCCATGTTCGCCAACCTTCCCATTGGTCTGCCTTACTCTGCCTCCTTCAAGAAGTACCACATCGACCACCATCGCTATCTGGGAGGAGACGGGCTGGACGTGGACATCCCTACGGACCTTGAGGGCTGGTTCTTCTGCACCCCGATAAGGAAGGTACTCTGGCTCTTCCTCCAACCCTTCTTCTATGCGCTGCGGCCTCTGGTGGTGAACCCAAAACCCGTGACCAGACTGGAGATGATGAACGCAGGTGTACAGTTTGCAGTGGACATTCTCATCTACTACCTCTGGGGACTCAAGCCCATAGTGTACCTCATCGCCGGGTCTATACTGTGTATGGGCCTACATCCCATCTCTGGACACTTCATTGCTGAACACTACATGTTCTTGAAGGGCCACGAGACCTACTCGTACTACGGCCCTCTGAATTTAATCACCTTCAACGTGGGATACCACATGGAACACCATGATTTCCCCAGCATTCCTGGTAGTAAATTACCTGAGGTGAGTGTTCATCTCCATGCACTTTCCCAATACTTTCCAGTGGTTTCCTCTTGGGGCCAGATGATCTTCTCCCAGACAGTGTGGGTGAGAGCAGATTAGATGTGGTCTGACTTTTGGAAAAGAGAGAAGAGGGTCATTCCAGAGCTTTTCAGGGGATTTAAGGTTGCTGTTGTAAGTTGTTGTAATTCAAAGCAGAATGTGCCTAGTGGGAAAGGACTGTTCAATACTGAGTGCATGGATTATCCATTAAACTGACAGCTTGATATTTCCTGGAAAATGTATAATTTTTGAATGAAGATGTCTGCTTTTAAAATACTCTGTTTTAATGTCAAGGACTTGCCATGAAATATATTCAATTCAACAAATATTCACTTAGTTTAACAAGCTAAGGCCTAAACTTCAGTTCCATTGATTTTCTCCTGTAAACAATGTGTAAAGGAAGCTTTTAAGGCACGTATTTGAACTGTGATACCTTAACCATGGTATTATTTCTGTTAATATTTAAGCAGTTATGAATAACCAAAGCCCGGATGCACCCCTAGAACACTTCCTTCAGCCGGTTTATTTTGCCAGTTTCATTTTTGTAAACTCTGATATCAGTGATCGCGATAAAAGAAAGAGACACCTGTTATTGGATTACATGACTTGACTGCAAATAGTTTCCTAAATGTGGTGTAACAGTACAAGTCTTTTCTCTCCTCATTGACAGGTGAAAAGAATTGCAGCGGAGTATTATGACTCACTACCGCAGCACACCTCCTGGATACGAGTGCTCTGGGACTTTGTTTTTGACGACAGCATCGGCCCCTATGCCAGAATCAAGCGAGAATACAAACTGGCCAAACAGGAATAAACCATACCCTAGCGCATTATTATCTCAGAGCCGCTATTTAAACAGAAAAGAAGATCTGGACAAGCCTGCTAAACTGGTAGCAACACGTGTCTAAACTTTTCAGCTCAAAAACCAGGATAACAAGTTAAGAACACACATGAACTTACACTTTTGGTCAGTATAACTGTCTAATTCATAGTCCAACTAATGTAGACTATGAATATATTCTAAGTAGGGCTGAGGTGAATTCTGCATTGAAACTCTAAAATGTCTTTTCATTGATGATGCCCTGCTGTTTTGACATGTAAAATATTTTCCAAGATCTACTGTTTTCTATTATGTTCCAGCTGTTGTGACCTGTGACTGTTTTGAATAATAATTTGACCAGATGTAGGTGAAAACAGGCGCCACTCCTGGATACTTTAAGGTGTGGTGGCTGAATTAAAAAATCGTCTCGTGAGTAGTTTAAGCAGAAGTATGAGTAGTGTTGTGTTTTTATTAACTTAGGAACCAAAAAGGGCAGTCCGTAAAGATGATGCGCTAAGGCCAAATTTATTCTGATACAAAGCTTTTAAAAGGGAATTCCAGCTAGTCAGAAGAGTTGAGAATGGTGGTGATAGGAGGCTGATGTCTGAACAGTTTAATGTCTAAGGTGGGGGGGGGTGGCAGTGAATGTTAAAGGTAAAGCCAACAGCAATCCCAATGTACAACAGTGCAAAATACACATACAGTTACATTTATATTGATATCTCAAGCTTTATATGTCAGTTTTAAAACACACATATCATATAGAGGTAGTATAGAGACTCCATTTTGTTGCCTGTTACAATGGCATTTTTATTACCACTGTGTCCCTAAAGTTCTTAGTCTGATCTGTAAATATCTTGGACAAAAACTTGATAATAATAAATATGATAATTAAGAAGGAAAAAGAAAGAACTATTAATAACTTATAGCACAAGTCAACAAATCATAGATCATAGTATAGTAAATCTTTACAGGGCAGGTTACACACTTTTTTCTGACAACCATCCCACAACCCACTGAACTTGCACCAATGCTCTAAAGGCTACCTCACAGAACGATATTAGGTGATATATGTTGCCTGATACTTGAAACGTTGTTTTATGACAGAAAGGTGATATGGGTTTGGACCATTGCAGGGCTACATGCAGGGAATTGTAAGGCAAAAGAAGGCCCAAATTATTATACATTTTTTTTGGATTTACCACTTTTTTATCGCTATCAACATACTCAGAAAAAAATCAACATAAAAAACTTTGTTGACAACAGAAAAGGCTGTTAACAAAACGGTGGATGTAACAGGCACAGTCTGGCTTTTATTTTGTTTGTTTTGTTGCAAAACAAATGTCTACCTATTGAAACTTAAGGGGCATGACCCAGTAAGGAATTTGGTACTTGCTAAGCACATGCATTTACATACACAAAGACAACACTGACCTGTTAAAACTTGTGAGGGGACATTAATTTAGCAAATGACATAGCTGTATTGTTTCAAACTTTTACCAGCGCAGCCAGCTCCTGGTGCAATCCATTAATATTAATGTACTTTGCTTTCAAGTTTAAACATGTTTTGTAAATTGAAACTCCATTAATTTATCATCCTGAATATAGACAAGCAGCTCCAAGGTTATCCTTGTCACATCTCCTGTCTAATCTCAGGGTAAATTAATGGAAAACTATGAACAACATGTGGATCTTCTTATCATCATAATTAGTATTGTGAATGTTTAATAATATAAAATGTTAAATAATATAATTTATGTGATCTGAAATGTTACGAGCAGACAAAAAGAACAAATTCACAAGATATAGATTCAGTGTTATTAGTTTTATTCAAAGGTCATTTCAATGTCAACTTTTAAAATGAGTAACCTAATAGGATATACTGTAGGACCCAACATTTCAACCAATTCTTTGAGCAAATGAAGAGTTTTCAAAAACTGCCATCTCATAGGGCTATAGCTACAATTACATCTCTCAGGAGTCATTCAAAGGGCAACCGCCATCAATTATCTCACACCAAGTCAAATTCAAGCTAAAAAATCCAGTGAACTTATACACCTGTATTGGCAAAAAAAACAAACTAGAAAACTCTGATGCGGTTTGGTGACAGTTCAGCACAAGAGTGTGCTCAATGTGCTTATCAAAAACCAAAGAATGAAGAAAGTAATAAAATATAAAAGGCTGACATAAATGGTGAGCATCTTTGTATCTCTTTCTCTCTGTGTACCACCAATAATAAAATTATTTTAACAATAATAGTAATGGTCAATGACACAATAAAACAGTATAAAACAAAAATATCTTCATCAAGTTCCAACTAGTCAACTTTCTCTTTTAAGACTTGAAAGACTGAGAGCAGCAAACTGCACAGTGGGCTGAGTCTTTTAATGTTCATACAGGAGAAAATAGAAAAATTCAGTGTGAAGGTCTGTCCACCCATCCATCCATCCATCCACCCATCCATGCATACAACCACTCACTCTCACTCACTTCCATTTCTCTGCTTTCTCTTGTCCCGTTCTGTAATGCTCCTCGTTGACGCAACATTTCTGCAACCTCATAGCAACGTTTCCTTGCCGTTGCAGCTATGTTGCGAGAACATTCCTTCAAAGCGCGCCGCAGGATCTTTTCTGAACTTCCCCAAGAACCTTCTGTCAGTGATGCTTGTAAACACTATGTAGTGCCCATCCGAGTGAGTTCTCGTCTAATGGCTAAAGAAAAGAAAGAAAGATACAGTGTTGAAACTGCACTAACCTCAAGGACCATGTATTCAGTTATGGCATTCATTCTCACCATCAATGATTTCATCTTTGACTTTATGCAGTTCACGCACAACCTCCTCCAAGATCTCCTATTCGGAAACAGAAAGGAAGAATGATGACTGTTCTGATTCTGGTACTGCTGAGCTGAAGGGTAATCCCCAATTCACAGCACTCAAATGTAGTGTTGCTGTCACATCCAAAGTGTAACTTTGGATCATTTATTTGGGTCCATTCTTCATGAAATGTTCATACACTATAAAGGGCAGCTGGAGTTTTTAAAAAGTGTAAAAAAAAACAAAAACTGGGAACTCTGAGAATGATTATATTACATAAATGTGTTCATTTTTATTTAATATAATCATCATGCTTGTTATATTAAAGTCTGCCAGTATTGTACTGCTCTTTTTAAGTTCTGGTTGGAAATAGAAGTGTTTAAATCTTGAACCACCCAACAGAAAATGGTCCAATTTGACTTTCAAACAGTCACACATTTATTTACAATGGGGAAAAATGTCACTCTAAGCCTTCTGGAAGTTTTAGACACATCGGTGACTGTGAATCCCATTGGTGGTCTATCAAGGTTTCAGTTAGAAATGGAAAACAGCAGCAGCTCTAAGCCACAGCTCTTTTAAGCTTCAAATGCCCCTGTGTAACCTTGGTTGGCCTAAAAATGTTTGTAAAATGGTAATATTGCCATTAGCTTAGTGCTACATAAATATAGAAATTACACAGCAATGCTAACAGAACTTAGATTTATTATATAGGTGTTTTTTCCTCAAATTTTGACTTTTTGAATTTTTATGGTCTACATTATAGGCCTTGGTCTCAAAGTTATGATTATCCACTGGCTGATAAAAGCAATTATTTTACAGTATAATTTTATATTTTATAACTTACCTGTTTCATTCTGTCAAAGTCTCCTGACTCTGCATCACTGGTGCTGCCAATAGGTCTCACCCTGCGTAATCAACAACAGGGTCATTTTGCCACAATACATAAAAGGAAATTTGATTCAGTAAAGCTCAGAGGCTAAGGTTACACCTGTCTTTTCACTGTGACCTTGCATATCTGCTCATGCCAGAATGCATTAACTGCCAGTTGTGTACGCTCTCTACAAATTTTAGCTGCTGTGAGGTCTGATGTGAATATCCACACACTGAAGAGGTCTGGCTTGCTTTGCTACCGGATCTCATTTACATCTGGGAAAAAAATCGATCCACTATCTGGACACTGTAAACAACTTTGTTGTTCTTATATCTATCCATACACACGGATGAGAACATTTGCTGAGACTTGGTGTCTCCTATAGTAGTATGCAAAAGTTTGGGCACCCCTGACTAAGCTACATATTTTGTTGATTTTTGAAATGAAAAGAAATGCACACAATGCATGCATAATACTATATATTTGATTAACTAAAAAAAGTAGGACTTGTGGCCTTCTAGCTGTAAAGTCAGAAAATGGAAGTAACAGTGACTCATTAGAACAAGTTAAGCAGGTCAGGAATTTTCATGAGAAACTGTCAGCTGATGATTCCAAAGTATAAAAAAAGTTTATAAAAGAAATGTTTTTTAGACCCTGTGCCATTTTTCTTCATCATACAGGAAAAATAAATCTGATCTTCTATCTGACCACAGATTTGCAAGTGTCATCCATAGTCACATTTTAAGCATTGACATGTCATTTACACAAAGATTTACATAAAGATTTATAAAGACACTTTATAAGTAGCTTTATTTAAATTAAAATGTATTTCCAGAACTGCACAGTTATGCTTTTTGTGATTATGCAATTATAGTGTCAAAATGAAAAAATGTAATTTATGCATTTGTACCTCATAATAAGGCATTTGAAACTGCATTATCGAGAGAACACCAGGCTAGAAAAGGCTCAAAAATCAAATGTGAAAATGGAAACAGAACCTTTCCTCTTTACAGTTACATATTCTAACCTGATTTTTGAAAATACATTCAACCTGATTGCATTTGCTTTTTCACACACTTTCACCTGTCACTCATCCCATCAGGCCAGGACCAATAGCACTGCCTTATTAGAGAGTGCAAATGCATATAATATAAATTGCATTTTAATTAACATTTTGACATCATTATTGCAATGTTATTATGTGAAGCATAAACACACATTTCTGGAAATACATTTAATTTAAATAAAGTCACTTGTAAAGCATCTCTGTGTGAATGAAATGTCAATATTAATATAGGGGCAAAAAGAAAATTAAAATGGCAGTATTGAATCTGGATTTTCAATCTGAGGCCAAAGTTGCATCATTGCTGTCTAAAAGAAAATGGAAAAGTTACTTGGAATAAAAAACTATTTACAGTAACAAACATCTCCTACAAAGTTACTATTTTGCAGATACTTGTTTATCTTTGGACATCAATGATATATGGGATATATGGGAAATTTAAATTAAAATATTTTATGTTACATTTTCATTTTAATGCTGCTACTGATTTTCTTCCATAAGAACGAGGCTGCTGTGGTTTTGACTAAATCTGATCATGAATGGCATTAAATCTTTACATTTTCCTTACAGACTACTCGCTCTACCAGTCTTTTTATTTGATTTTCAGCAGGGGTTTAGAGCGTGCAGTGACAGTTCATCAATATTTGCACACACTATCAGCGTCCTCAGTTGTACAGCTTCCATGCAAACCCACAGCCTAAAATTTATCAGTGCCAAAACCAGATAAGAGCTAGCTTTGTTCAGGCCTCTCCAGCCTCCTGCTGATTAGGTTTTATTTTCTTAAGCAGGCCATTGATAAGATCCAGCAGTAGTTACCGATGCATGTAGACAAACAATTACATGGCTAGCTTTGTGATGTGCACATTGATTCATATAAGCATAAAGCTGAAGCCTGAGACAGAATTCAGTTGGAGCCATTCTTTCTGGAAATTGTGGTATTCTTTAACAGTATGTTGAAGAGAAAATGAATTACTCACAGAGGGACATGAAAACAAACTAATTAATATGGAACAGTATGATTTCTATCCATGCTTTAACACGGACCTTGACCCAGCAGAGGATTTGTCTGAAGAGTTTGCTCGTTCCCATGGCTTCTTCACAGCATCTGTGAAGAAAATTCCAGTCAGTTGCAAACTTTTCACCAATGTGACTGTAGTTTAGGGAATGGGATGTACTAATGGAAAACATACAAGGTGAACCAACATATCTGACGGTAGGCTTCCTTTTCAGTAGGAAAAGGCTTCAGTTTAAGCAGGAATTCTGTTTTTTGATGTTCTGAAGCATTTCTAGCTGGAAACTCAAACGTTTGCCAAGAAGAGCTCAATCAATATTTCACCGTAATGTAAGAAAAAAGACTAATCATTTGGCCAAATTACCTTCTTCCAGTGCACTTCCAGTTAATTTTTGTGGTCAATACTCTAGACTGCCATTTTTTAAAAACACTGGCTTAGGTTACAAGTGGAAGTTAATGATGCACAGCAAAATCGGGGAGGTTTACACTGAAGTCTGTGGTATCTTTCAGATTGTTATTCATTATTTTTTAAGAACTATTCTGCTTAAGGGCCAACCCAAACCAGCAAACTTCAATAGTCATGTTTCTGCAGCTTTATACTCATCATCTCCCACAAGTTCTTAAATGTCCTACATTGTTTTATAACAATACTGCCTTTGTAGCCACTTTAAATATTTCCATGTGGTCTTTCTGACATTTTTTCCATCTAGCCAAATATCTAGCCAAAAAGAATACAATACTACATTCTCAGATAGGGTTCGATTCCCTGGCTGGGTGACCAGGGTCCTTTCTGTTCAGTACGGTTAGCTCAAGTGAATCTGACTCCATCGTTTGCAGTTATTACTTACAGAATAGCTAATAATTATAGCACTTTTTTCAGACTGCTTTCATTTCATACTCCTTTTTAAATGCATTCTTCCTCAAGCTTCTCCACTTGAGATTACCTAATGGGAACTCACATTTCTAGGCTCTGATAATGGCATTTTGTATTGACCAGGAAATACTGAAACAAGATAAGGGCTGAGTCTCATCCCACATTCCCATAACGCAAGCCTTAGGAAACTCAGTGGTGCACTGAGTTCTCTCGTCAAGGAGGTGTTTCTCAAAATCTGTGAACTCTGACAGGCCACTGGCAGATGTAGAACAGAGTTAGAACAGAGAACTGAGTTCTGCTGACCTGAACCACGTGAGGCAGGTGAGCCGTTGGACTCTTCCTACAAGAAAAACACACAGAAAAATTCACACATAAACTCAACAGTACAATCAGTGTGAGAGTGTGAGAATGTGATGAAAAGCTGATTTAAGCACATACATTTTGACCTTCTTCTGGCTTCTCTGAAGCTTTCCTCCTGAAGGCAAGACACAATATATGACAACATCTCTCTGACTGAAACACAATACTGTTCATCAGGTAAGGACAAGGGGTTTGAATCTCTTCTATGCGTCATGACAACTCAGATTTAACAACAATTCTATTGGATTTAGTTTTTTTGTTACACAGTAGTGAAATATAAACAATACAACAAACTTCTCCATTATTACATTTGAAAACAGCAAAATTAAATAATTAAAATGAATTGTCATTGTAGCCTTTTTTATGATATAATTGATTATAACTGATTCCAACTTTTTAAAATCAGTGCAGTTCAGTCATCACCTCTGTGCAATATATAGCCATAGTGAGTTAGCTCCAGAGTTCTAGCACCATTTGCAAATATGGGTAAAAAAAAGTCATGAAAAAAATGGCTCACTCTAACAGGAATCTCTACTCATCTGTGACTTCTTGCCATATGAGGTGACACAGGCCAAATTTCCAGTAGATGTGTTCACAGGAGCCTACTACACACAGCTCTAGACTTTTCGGGGCCCTAAGCAGGATTTTTAAACTCCCCCAAAATCTTGCTGGCTAATGTACTGTAAAACTGGAGGCTGACTTCACAACAATGACTACCAAAAGTTGGTCTCTGCCGCACATCAGCTTTTTCACACTCGCGTGTGGAGTCAAACTGCTTATTGTTCAGTCAGATCAGCTCATATTACCAACTATTGATGTAATGAAAGTGAAATGACTGACCTTTCAGCAAATGCTGGAACACACAGGTGTCTTTGGAATTGTTTTACCACACAAAAGTGGTAAGTCACCTAAGTCACCTAGGCTCATCTTCAGACTAAAATATATCCATACGTGCTGCTAAGGAGCTGAAATGCAGCTAGCAACGGTTGCTAAGCAGTGACTGGAGGGCTAATGAAAGTGTGGAGATGGGTCTGATTGGCTCAGTCCAGTCTAGTTGTGGCACGTCCAGTTGTGCCCCTGCTCTGTAGCACGGCGCACAGCATTTGTCGTGTATTTGTGCTGGAATGTATATATAGTACATAGTATGTTATTTTGAACAAAGCCCCACTCATTCATCAATACGGGAAGATTAGAGAATAAACCAATCAAATGACACAACAGTGAGTTGATCTTGAAGCTTAAAATGGCCATATCCATTGCTGAAGTTTAAAACAATCAGAGCCGTATTGAACCTGCACAGAAGATGAAACGTTTATTTTACTTTGGTCGCATTTTGAGGTCACAACACCTCCAAAACTACAATTTGACTGCAATTCCATGAAAACAAACTATTTGGAAGGTGTGCCAAAAAAGCCTTTTCTTTAATTGGCCACAAACATGGTTCGCTAAGCTTTCCTGGAATTTGACTGAAACTGGGTTCTATGGGAGTATCTTGCGGAATCTTCTGGGAGACAAAAACTGAGCTTTTTGGCAACAAACACTCAAGATGAGTCAAAAGATGGATGAATACACAGAAAAGAATGTAATCTTCCCTGTTAAGTATTGTGGAGGATCTGTGAGGTTTTGGGACTATTTTTTCTCTGAAGGCCCCAGAAACCTTGTTAGGATAAATGGCATTATGAATTTTGGATCCAAACACACATCTAAATCCTCACAAGAGTGGTTCAATGACCACATAATCAAGCTTTGGGGTGAGCAAAAGAGGAGAAGCCAAAAGAGAATACCTAGGACCCTGGAGGATCTGAAAAGATTATGTACTGGAGAGTGGTCTTAGATTTCTGCTTTGTAGTCTCCATCTAATCAAGCTTTGTAGGAGACTCGCTGCAGTTATGGCTCAAGTGTTAGATTTAGCTAATCAATCACATTTTTTCCAGACCTTTTAACCCATTTTTACCAAGAGTGCTACTAACTGTACATATGCACTTAAAAAAAGGAAGCTAAAGGTAATGGACTCAGTCTGACCTTCGTGCTAACAGAGCGTTCATCTCCTGCATGAGCCCCTCTCCTCCTCCTCCACTTCCTCCACTGGAGCGGTTGGCATCATTCTTGGCACTGCTCTCCTCTGGCTGCAAGGTTTAAAAAGGGAGTCAGCTTACAACAGAGGAGGTCAATATAATGTTACCTGTCTGTATATTGACAGAAACTGCAGTACGTTCACATGCACACACAGTGGACACGCCCTGTAAGAGTGCAAACAATACTAAAAGTCACATCTACTGATATAGCTGATGTTTAAGTTTCATAAGGGTAAAAATCTAAGTAAATGATTAATAAATATCTCTTGTATCACCTCTCTGTTGTACATAAATTGAACTAATTTGTTACATTTTTGAAATTTCTTTCATAATAGCAAATTTACATAAAAAATAGTCCCTAATAATATTCTTTCAATGGTGTCATAGTCTATGACCACCTCTCTCTCTGCTCTTATGACATATTCACAAGCTGTATTACAGCTTCTCAAGCCTCTGGAACTGAACTTTATACCTTGTATGTGATAAAACAAGCCCAAGCCTTCAACGAATGCAGTATTTTCTAACCAGACCAAGCAAGTCACTTGTGGTCACTCACCCGTTGAACTTTGCGGAGTTTGGCCCCAGCCAGAGCCGCAGCCAGGCCTGAGGGTGCAGGAACACCGCTACCTGGGAGAGGAGGTGGGGTAGGAGGAGGCGCAGTGGCCGGAGGAGGAGGTCCAGGCGGAGGAGGAGGAGCTGGAGGACCGGCCATAGGTGCAGCAGCAGGGGGATGAAGAGGGGGAGTGGAGGAGAGCATAGAGGGATGTCCTGGAGGAAGAGGGGGACCTGTTGGAGAAGAAGAGATACATGTCAAGTGTGGAACCATAACATGGAAAAAATAAGACTTTGATGTAGCATGAAAACGTTGTTAAAGTTTCAAAATTAACCACTCACTCTCCAGTCATGTGTGGAAGCTAAGCTGCAACAACAGCCTATTTTAAAGTTATTATTTTTGTGATGTCACAAAAACCAAGATATTTACATACATCTACCTCTTCAGCTTGCAACAGATTAGCCCCACCCAGTCAAGCTGAATTATAAAGAGTGTTCGCTTTTTGAACGAGGCACAATACATGGCAGCCAATCAGAACAGAGCTCATTCACATAGCAGTATTAAAGGCACAATAACAAAAAAAACCTGTTTAACAACAGGATGAAGAGAGGATGGAAAACAGTCATATAAAAATATTTGATTGTTTTTGGTACATAAACCCACACAAACATTAAGTGGACCCAAGGGAAAAAACAAAATATTGTCTATTAAAAATGGACAAAATTAATTTAGCTGCTAAAACTGTTTTTTACCATGCGTCCTCTTTTTCCAGGACATTTGGCTTTGCTTTCATTCTCCTAGTGTCCTCTATATTGAAAACTAAAATATGGTTACCCTATTTTAGCTATGCAACATGCTTTTTATAGTTTTATAGAAATCATTCGTTCATCATTTGTTTGATATTACTTAATAACTTAAAGGGCTTTGAGGCAAGCTTGTGATGATTTAGGCATGCAGTTTACACAGTGCTAATCGATTGACACAAGCTTTTATTACTTGTTAGCTACATTAGCATCATAGCTCCAGTGCAAAACTAAACAAGCAAACTTCAGACGCCAAACATGTCTTGGCGGATCGAATACATTTGTGGTAAGAGGAAAACTGTGTAAATTAGATTTTTGAAGAAATATTCCTTTGTTGAACTTGAATGCAACGGATTCAGAGCATACAGTTGAACAAAAACATCCAAAAGACCAGCAAAGACAACAGCTGAGTCTGACAGACCATCTTATAAAATCACACATCTTTTCAAATGTTTTAGGAGTAAATTAGCACTTCTTCATATTGTATTGCATAAGTGGGACAATAGCTCTTCATGAAAAGGAGTTGGTCCCCAGGAAGGAGGAAGGTTAGGAAACACACTGAAGACCCATCACACTCATTAACAGCATATAATGCAGATGAACCAGTATTTCCAACTGGGACCCAGTACAACGACTGTATTGTTTCAGACACATTCTTCAAGCAGCGTGTAAAATCTGTGTGTGTCATCAGTCCTGCCTGGCGCAACAGCTGTGTTCAGTGTGTGCATGCAGAAGGCCTGCTGAGGCCACACACACTCAAACAGTAAATGGTAGCAGAGCACAATTTATATTAAATCAAAGCGACTGGACTCTGAGGGGCTCCCCTTATTACAATATGTTCCAACAGAATGAACAGAATATATTGCAATCTATTTTCAGTTATATAACATTTTTGTATGGGCATCAGTTCAAAAGACAAAATCAAAAGATCAAACTGATGAAAAAAATCCAATAAGGCCCCTCTTATACATACTGAAACATCTTCAATGCCCCATTTCGGGGAAAAACAAATTTTCCTTATTTTTTGTAATAAAGGAGTTTGACTGTAGTATGCAAACACTGTTAAAGTTTAAAAATGCACTAGTCCCTCCACAGCCCAAATACTGAAATTGAGAGGCAAAAATGTCCTGTTTCAAATGAATTCATTCTGTTGTGTCATGGAAACCAACATGAAATTAAAACATGGTGAAGTGCAGCTGTCAAACTTGTGAGACAATTTTGACCAAAACAGAGTTAGTTTTGGTAAGAAATCTTTAATGTTAAGCAGCGTCTCATTGTTGTTCTGTTCAATTTTACTGTAGTGTGTTTGTGCGCTGCACTGTAAGAGCATGGAGACAGAATGCAAACACAAAGGCTGAGGAAAAGGCTGTTTATCGGTGCATCTTCTTTCTGCTTACCATGTAATATTATTGTTCTATTTTCTTTGAAAGATAAAGGTACATCATTTTCGTTATCAGGGAACTGGAGCCTGCTGCCTGTCATGTTTCATAGCTACCATGAACAAAAACTATACGACTTTATTCTGTTTGCATTTACATTATATATTTAGCAAATGTAATTATTCGTAATTTATCACATTTCTTCTTTACCAGCAAAAAAGTTATCCACCTCAAGCAAGCTCACAAACCTTTATGCAAAGTTTGCTGATTCTATTTAACGTTTGCCATTTTCATCAAGTCTGTTTATATGCTATATTGTGAATTAAGTTTTTAGCTGGAGCGCATCTGATTTGTGATAAGAACTGTGAGGAAAGGTATCTGATATGTGGTCAAACTGATTTTGTATATGCTCTGTAGCCACAAGCCTGTAAAGTTTGGCATGGCATTTGCTTGACATCAGTAAAACCATGGCCGCCATGGTCAGCTCGAGTTCAGAAATGCCCACAACCAATTTGGGCGAAAAGTGCTGCTGGTGTGAACGCAGGGTAAGGGATAAAGGTCGGGAAATGGAAATGTAAATATGAATTGTTTTTAATGAAGCATATGAAAATATTTAAATATAAAACATGACAGTTTTCAGAACATGAACCCAAACAAACTCGTAAGTAAACCGCAAATAAAATGTAGAACACGTCCCCCTTAATCATCTTCACTTACTACTACCAGTCGGGTGGACTCTGATACTTACTGGTAGCCAGAGAGACAGGAGGGGGTGTCGAGGGCCTCTCAGACACAGAGGTATAAGAGGGAAGCGTGGTGTCAGTGGGGGGCGTGGCCTGATACTGTGGCTGTTGGTGGAAGGAGGAGGTGAACTGCAGCTGGTGGGCGTGGCCTTGAACTTGACCAATGTGGGAAGGCAGGGAGACAGCCTCGGAGTAGGCAGGGTAGGAGGGCTCTGGTTGGTAGCAGTAGGGGTGAGGGGGAGGAGCCCCAGATGAGGAGGTGGTCTGACGAGGCGGACCCTGTGGGGGTGGAGACTGGAAGGGGTAGCAGTCCTCCGGCTGGCTGGAGGGATGCTGCTGTGGAAGGGGGGTGGGGTCAAAGTGGGCAGGTGCTTTGGGGCGGCCGTTATTGACAGGTGGCAAAGGGAGGGCCACGGGTAACACGGGCTGCTTGAGGGGCATGGGCATGACTACAGGGGGCGAAGAGGTGGGCAACGGGGCATACATGTGGGCAGAGGACCACGTGCCGTGTTTGGGATCTGGCTGACGGGAGGAGGTGGGGGGAGAGAGGGGGATCTGCCGCACATTGCGGGCCGGCACAGGAGTGCCCCCTGGCTGCACAGGGGAGAAGGCCGAGGCCAGGGAGGTGGAGAGCTGTGAAAGCTGCTGAGCCTTTTTCTGAGCGGAGGAGTCCACCGTGCGATAGCTGCTCTCACGCTCCTGAGAGGAAGAGGAGGAGCTAGAGGAAGGAGGGGAGGGGTTGAGGCGAGTGTAGGAAGGGGGGAGAGTGTTGGCGCGATACTGCCTGTACTCTGCCGGCGGGGCATCAGACTGAGAGGCAGACACTTTAAACTGAAGGGTGGAGACTGACACACAGTGAGAGAGAGAAAGAAGGGGAGGGATGGAAACAAGTGACAACAAAAAGAGAGAAAAGTGACAGTGAGGAAAATCAAAGTAGAGAAACTGAAATTCTGTCATGAAAAAAAGATGTGAAATGCGAGCAAAGATGTGCCACATGTATGGGGTTAATTTGTGCCAAAACGTAAGCAATATATTAAGCATCACAAGGTAAAAATACATGTTGCAAATACAAATAATAAGAATTATATCACTTTTCAAGAGACAGAAGACCCTTCTATGACCATTTGGAGTCATCTGATTCCTAATTCCTGTTTTCACTGGCATTCTGCAGTCTTTGTTTTGTTTTTTCACTAAAAGAAAAGTGGATGCTGCCACTGCATGTCTGATTTTTAAAGAAATCATCATATCTTATTTAAACTAATAAGATACACATCACCCTGCATTGTCCTAATATATTTTGAAGTGTACTAGGTTCAGTTGTTAGATGTAGCTATAACATCATTTGTTTTTATAGATTTAAGTTTACTAGTTTTCAAGCTAGGATAGCTTGACTAGAAGTGTTCACAAAAGGCTAGCAGTTTAATTAAGTAATCTACCTGAGTAGCTAGCTGAATGTGAATCCCTACGTTTCCAGGGCTTTTATTCACCCACTGAAAGTCTAGAAAGCTTTATGTTTCCAGGGCCATATGTCCTCTCAGGCACTGGTAGCCCTGTTTATCCTTCTGTTAGACACAGCCTTATATTCCCAGGACCCTATGTTCCCTCATTATAATTTTCTTGGAAACAACTCTATGTTTCCATGACCCCATGTTTCCACACCATGTTTCCTCAACATGATAGTAAGACACCCATCCCTGTGATGTACTTACAAAACGTATATAGTCTGATATTATACTATATGTTCACTAAATAATATCAGAAATTGTGTTTTTGTAGATGCGGCTTCCAAATGGATTCCCTTATTAAAACACACTCTGGTTGTACATTTCAGTGAGCAAGAATGAGAATCTGTTCAATGAGAAGCAGCATTTAAATGTCTTTGCTCATTATTTTATTTGACTTTCACAATATTAATAGCATTGCAAAACAGCAAAACATTACTAGGCAGTACCAGCCTGGACCTGAAGCCAGAGTTACAATCATATATATACATATATATATATATATATATATATATTTATATATATACATATATATACATATATATAGCATGTAAGGTCCTGATGATTTGATTCACTGCTCTATTACAGAAAAAGAGAAGTTCAGTAACCAACAACTATATCGTTTACATTTCTTTAAATTTAAATTATTAAATGGGTATGGTGGGTGTGGCTAAAGGTCAGAAGACCTGTCACTCTAAAATCAGTTGACCAATACACATTAAAGGCGAACACCTTCTTCATCCATTTATATAAATGTGTCAAAACTGAGAAGAAAAAAACGGTTAGTAGTAAAGTTTGATTTTGTTAATATTTGCAACATATATTCTTATGTTTTCATACTCAAAATTTTGCTCGCAGACTTTATTATTTCACACCTTTGGTACAAAATGAGCTCCATACATGTGTGTATGTGACATGTATTATGTTCCAGCTGGCAGACTGAACTTGCACAAGAATGTGTATGGAATTATGGAACAGGTCTGTCTGAGCTGGACTGATACATGAGTTAACATGAGCAGAGAGCTAGAGCAGAGAGATAGAGAGCGAGAGAGCAGAGTGAGTGAGTGACTGATGGTCTGAAGACCTTTGGGCTGGGGGACTGAATTCTGTCTACGTGAGTTTGTCGTGTTGTGTCTCTTCCACAAGTCTGCAGGGTTCACTCCTGGTGGAATGGGGTGTTTCGCTGATTGAAAGTGGCTATACGACTGAGTTACTGTGTGTGTTTGTGTGTATAAAGTGTTTACCTGCTGAGCCAGATGTTCGTCGCTCCCGTTCCAGCTGCATCTGATGCTGCTCCATCATCTGCCTATAGAAAAAACGACAAGAAATGTTACAAAAAGAATGAACCATGCAGAGCCTATTTACACAATGTCTTTTCGTGCATCTCATATCTGGATAATGTAAAGAAACGTACACAATTTATATTTTTGAAAATATAGTTTTGTTCTCTATGTTTTGGTCTTTCATCCACATCAAAACGAGGTCCTTGGAAACACAGACTAAGGCAAATGCTTTCCAAAGTGGAGACTGTTTCTGTGTGGTCCGTAATATCAAGTTTGATTATGTTTATTGAGCTTTACTTTTTCATTAAACCACCAGTCTACATACACTAGCATTGGATACATGCAAGATTAACATTTTTGTCATTTTACATATTATAATGTGTTTATTGATTTAACAATGATTTAAACATTACAAAAAGGTATTTTTAGATTTATTTTCAATAATTTCAGAATTTTAACAAAAAAATGATAAAACATGATAAATAATATACTGTAATTATACATGTATATATTTTTTTCCGCCTTGAGATTTGATTTTCACTTTTAAAATGTGATAAATGGATTTTTTTATTTTATCATAACTTCATTCTCATTATACAGCTTTCTCTTCTTCTTCTTCTTCTTCTTCTTTAGCACTGTTCATCAGTTTAAACACATCTAACATTTCTTTATTTTTATTACTAGCTTCCTAGTGTACTACTTATTATATGAAATCTGTGAAGCTGTGCAGAACATATTAGAATTATTAGAATTATTTTATGCAGCTATCAACCAACTGCAACCATATTACTATAACCTCAAACTAAAACCTACTGAGTGGTAATGCTACTGCCACCTGGTTTCTATCATTGTTCACCATCAGATTTCTGGTTCCCATCACCAGCAACATAATAATTTTGACTTTGTAAGTTTTTCTAGAACTGAACACTTCTCCCCAAACCACTCAGAATGACTTTGTTTACATCTTAATGATTTAATTATCAGTGGAATTTCCCTTTACTACTCATAGACACTTCAGTGAAAACATGCTTAAGGTGACCGGAAATTTCAAGACCCAGTATGGGACAGAGGGGTGGGTAGGACGGTGGTGGGCTATACAATATAGTTACATTAATTAGACTACATTTTTGTCTGACACCTTTTTATACATAACTGAATAAAGAATACCTTCTTTAAATGAACACAAACACCTATTAGGTACAGAGCTGTAATTTCTACTTACACTGCTTAGAAATGCTAACTTGACTGTAATATTTCACTTACTTGTGATTTGTCTAGATTTTATCTAGCCAATACACATATTACAAACAATCAATCTGACTGATGAGTATTTTATTGTGCATGATATGTACATGTATTGCTAGCATTAATGTCCACAGATAAACAGTTTTTAAACTGTCCAAAGCAATAATCAGCAACGGAGTGCACAGATTTGTGTGTACGCTTGTGTGTGCATGTGCTGGTGAGTGCGTACTTTTTACAGTCAAGCTCAGCAGATTGCAAAACATTTGGCTGAGCTGATGTTTCAAGCTTCAGTGATTCTCTAGTGCAATACCCCCTTTAACCACTAGAGGGCAAAGGGCGATCTGCAGACTGCCATGGGAGGAGGCCTATATTCCTAAGGCTTAGAACAGACTAACAAATGATACTTCATTGCTAAATGATGACAGGAGCATTTACTTACATGAGCTGAATCAAATCAGTATCAAATCATGAGTGATTGATGCAGGGGATTCCATTTAATTTTATTGCATAGTGCTTTTTATAACAGGCACTGTCACAAAGCAGATTTACAGATATCCAGGACCAGACCCCTACTGAGCAAGCCAATGCTAACAGTAACAGGAACCTTGACAGGATTAAAACTCAGATGGGGACGCTTTTTCCTCTGGTTGACACTGGAAAGGTGAATTTTGACCAATTGTTTTCTGAGTACTAGTTCTTTGCCCGTAAAGCAAAGCCAGGAGATGTCTGATCCAAGCTCAGACATTTTGCAGTCAGATGTAGGTGTCTGCAGGCTCTGTGTTAATCTGCAGTAATTAAAAGGACATATATGTAGAGAGTGGTGACCTAAGCCTGACTGAGGAACCAGACAGGGTCTGAATTGAAGCCAAAGTGAACATTACTGAAGACTGTTACATAGTATGAGACTTTCCGCTCACCTCCTCTGGGCATCTGTGTCATCTGTCACCGGTCCATTCTGCCGATGGCCACCTGGACCTGGAAGAGAAGACAAGGAAAATTCAGTCAATCTCTCAGACGTTTCTGAGATGAAGCACTTCATTGTTTTTTGTGTCCATGTATAAATACAGTATTGTGCAAAAGTCTTAGGTAGCTAAGCAAATTGTTTAATACAATTTATCTCAGTAATGTGTTTTTGCAAAAAAGTAAAAATACTGTAAAACATTATAATGCATACAAGTAAACATATAATACAATAAACATTAAGAAGAATTTCTGTCTTCAAAAAAGTAGTTAAGATATTGTCAGTACTTGTAAAACACTGACCAACCGCATGTTTTATAATAAAGAGAGCCAATTTAGTCCTGTTTAACTGAATTTAGTGGAACATAGTATGACAAATAGTGAATAAAAATCATTGTGCTCACAGTTTTTGACAGTAATTTTTAAAAGGCGGCACTACTGGTTCTTTTTTCTCTGTTGGAACTGATCAGATATCTGAAAAAAAATACTGTGACAATGTGTATCATGAAAATTTCCTGAGGTATCGCAATATTTGCAAAAGATTTTTCCCATATTGCCCACCTCTGACCCTAAATATAGTAGATCAGCCGAAACGTTTTTTGTTATCTGAAGTTTGTTTCTTTGGTTTTGCAATGATGCTGTGATGCTAACGTGGCTAACAAGCAAAAGAAGCTTAGGTTCTCCAGTTAGCATTGTGTAAGTCACATACCTAAATCATCACACTTTCCTTAAATTAAGTTAGGGTGTTAAAGTCTCAAAGAGATGGGAGGGATGTACCGATATGTGAGGGAACTGTAGGCTGCTGCAGATATCTAATATTTTTCATCTACATATCTGCTTGTGCAACATAAACATTTCTAAAAAGTCGAAATTGGGACAACATGTACCTCTGTTACACAGAGAAGTGTAACATTTATGTCTGTAAATATAAACAAATAAATGCTGGGAATTTTGTAGTCTCTTGTGGCCACAACTGATCTTGTAACAAGAACATCTGGTGAAAACCGTGAGAAATTTTGGGGTAAATGTGGTTACAATGTGAAAAAAGTTACCCAACACAAACTGGCCCTGTGTGAAAAAGTAACTGCTCCCTTAGTTACCCTATCAACCAATTAAACAAATTACTGCCATGCCCACTGAATCATCACTTAAATAAAACCTTTCCAGTGATGTGAAGTAGGCTTAAAGGTCACTATGCCGCAATCAAAAGAATCAAAAGAAATTCTGTAGGAGATGAGATAGAAATTTACTAAAATACATCAGTCTGGAAACAGTTACAAAGCCAATTTTAAAGTTCTGGGACTCAAACCACAGTGAGAGCCATTAAAGGAAGAACAAGGGTGATTATTCCTGGAAGTGGCCGGCCTATGAAGCAAGACAACAAGCCGAAGCACAAGAGCGAGTCCACCTCCAAATGGCTCACAAGAAACAAATTTAAGGTTTTGGAGTGGCCTATTCAAAGTCCTGAACTGATCCATTGAGATGTTGTGGCAGGACCTTAAACAGGCAGTTCTTCCTCAATATCGCCCTCCAAAGTGGCTGAATTAAACCAACTCAAGAGTGGGCAAAATTCCTCCACAGTGATGTGAAAGACTGACCTCTAGTTACAGTTGCAGCTGTTGCTGTTAAAGGGGCACACCAGTTATTAAGCTTAGGGGGATATTACTTTTTCACATGGGTGAAATAAGTGTTGCAAAACATTTTTCCTTTCAATAAATAAAATGATTATTTAAAAACAGTCTTGTGATTTGTCATGTTCTCCTTGTCTCATATTACATTTGGTATGAGGATCTGAAACCATTTAGTGTGGCAAATAAGCAAAAGCAGAGGAAATCAGGAGGGGGCACATACTTTTCCATGACACTGCAGATGTGTGTTTTGTGTGCAGAGAATAAACATCACCTCTCGCAAGGGAAAAACAGTCCTGTTAGCAAACCTTGGCCAATTTAGCTAATTTGTGGGCAGATTTTAGAGGGCGTACCCTTGCTTGTGGGAGATTCTGCCGGAATCCAGCACCAATTTTTGTTGTTGTGCCGTTACGAGATCACGTCTGGCCCTGTGAGACTATAAATTCTGCAAATTAATAAAATGCAGACATTTTATTACAGTATCCCAGCATCATCTAAACATGCTGCTCTTCTGGAGTATAAATCCAAATATTGGTGTGAAATATCGGTTAAATCTAAATAAATCTAGAAGTCCATAATTTTTTTTAAAACTTTTTAAAGGACTACATTTAGGGTAAGGGGAAGATTGTGTTAATCTGACTTTGCTTAACTATTCCTTTAATTCCAGTGTAATAATATGGATGAATCATATGCAGTCAGGTCCATTAGTATTTGGACAGTGACACAATTTCTGTACACCAGCACAATGGATTTGAAATGAAGCAACAAAGATGTGACTGAAGTGTAGACTTTCAGCTTCAAAGGGGTTTAACAAAAATATTGCACTGACTATATTGTGCACTATAACACTGTCTCCATTATGCTTCCTCCATGAATATTTCAACAGTCATTTGATAGAATGGCCACCATGATGAAGGTAAGGCAAAAGTCTATCATAGCCATTAAGTATGCCTGATGTGAGGCAGACTCCTCTTAGTGCTCTATCATAATTACTTCCCATCCCATATCCCATTCTACTCTGTTATCTGATGGATGGACTGAGTAAGCAATGTTTAGAACTGTAAGCACAGCTATCAGGTTCCTCAGATGCTGTGACAGGCAGGCGCCAGTTATGTGGTGCAGTCTCACATTAAGGAGGTGGAGAGCTGTAGCTGTATCTGTGTGGTTATCTATGTGGCATGGTGTAAGTAATATGGTTATTTATGGTTAGTGACGCTGGTGTGTGTGGGTGTATAGTGTGTGAGACTGTATGTCAGGGAGAGAAGAATCATGATATTTCTTAACTAGCTGTTCTGAAGTAACAGCTTGGTCACAAGGACGGCAGCATCTTCTATCCGAGGATGCACTGTGTACATATGTCCTGAGATGAACTAAATTACCTTGATCATTCAAAAATTGAAAAATCTAATTTACACAATTTTCCCCTTTCCCCATATGCAGAGATATATTTGCTCGATGTCACTTTAGGCTTTGAGATGGTTCCTACTACTATTTTTATGAATGCAATGTATTTTTGTTAATGTTTACAGACAACAGTATGCCGGTGTCAGAAACTTCAAACATCAGACAAATCCTGGCTGTTCCACTACAGTGAGAAAAGAATCATGGGCGTTGTTTTTCGAATGAACTACATTACATGACCAAAAGTATGTGGGAACTCTAATCGGTGTGGATATTCTGGCGACATCGATTACTAACAAGTGCATGAAATCAGGCATCCAGCCTTGCTTAGAACAGAATCTCCAAAGATAAACATCAGCAGCAGAATAATTCTCTGCTGCAAACTGCCTCTGCACATAACGTCAGTTTGTCAGGGGCTTCAGGGATCGTGTTTCCATGCTAAACACAGTGGGCGAGTAGCCATACACAAGCCTAAGGTCACCAGGCGCAATAACAAGTCGCAACTGTTGCGCCACTGGATTCTGGGGCAATGTATTTGTAGATGCAGTAGAGCAGTACCTCCTCGAATGTATAATGCCTGTTAAGTTTGGCTGAGGAGGAATAATGGTCTGAGGCGGTTCTTCATGGAGTGGGCCACTTAGTTCCAGTGAAGGGAAATCTTAATGTTACACTCTTAAAACTACACTCTTGGTTCTTCAAAGGTTCTTTAGTAAAAAAAATGGTTCTTTATAGAACCATGAACAATCAAAAATAACCATCTGCATGATTAAAGGGTTCTTTGCATCATGAAAACATTCTTCAGATTGCAGATTGCTTATATGGTTCTATATAGAACATTTTTGAAAAGGGTTCTATAAAACACCAAAAAGGGTTCTTCAACTGTTACAATGTCAAGCTTGTAATAATAGAAGAACCCTTTTTGGTGCTATATAGACCCCTTTTCAAAATGTTTCTATATAGATCCATCTACAGTATGTACAGTATGTATCTACAGCATCAATCGGAAGAACCCTTTCACGATGCAAAGAATCCTTTAACCCCATGGAAAGGGTTCTTCGAATGTTTATGGTTCTATGTAGAAGAACCCTTGAAGAATCACCTTTTTAAGAGTGTATGTCAAGACTGTAATAATAGAGGAATGCTTTTTGGTGCTATACAGAACCCTTTTCAAAAAGTTCTATATAGAACCATATACAGCATGTTCTCCATCAATCTGAAGAAACATCTCATGATGCAAAGAATCATTTAATCATGGAAAGGGTTCTTTGTTCATGGTTCTATATAGAACCATTTTCTTTACTTGAAAAAACATCTTTTTGAGGTGTGTATGTCAAGCCTATAACAATAAAGGAATGCATTTGAGTGCTATATAGAATCCTCTTCAAAAAGGTTCTATGTAGAACTATATCCAGCACCTTCTCCATCAATCTGAAGAACCATCTTAAGATGTAAAGAATCCTTTAATCATGGAAAGGCTTCTTTGAATGTTCATGATTCTATATAGCACTATTTTCTTTACTAAAGAACCCTTGAAGAACCATCTTTTTTATGAGTGTACACCATACAATGACATTCTAGAGAACCGTGTGCTTTCCACTTTGTGGCAGCAGTTTGGGCAAGGTCCTATCGTGTCAGAGCATGATAATGCCCATGCACAAAGCTAGTTCCATAAAGAAATGGTTTGCCAAATTTCATTTAGAAGAAACTGACTGGCTTGAACACCTTTCTGATGAACTGGAACATCGACTGCGAGCCAGGCCTCACTGTCCAACATCAGTGCCTAACCACACTAGTGCCCTTGTGGATGAATGGAAGTGAAACTCTGTTTTAAAATCTAGTAGAGGCTATTCTAGTGAAGATGTATCCTCTCAATATTAACACCCATACATCTGGAATGAGGTGTTCAACAAGCACATGTTCGGATGTCCTTTTGTTGTATGTAGTCTATTTCTTTAAAGTAATAGCACACTATATGCAAGACTCATT